GAGGTTTCCCGGTGGTTCTCTAACTGATGTCAGTTCATGATGAAATCTTCTATCCAATCAAAGTATTAATCCTCTTTTGATTCATTGTGTGCTCAGTTGACTGCCAAAATTTCATAATCTTTTTCTTACCTTCGTCTTGGTCAAATTGCCAGCCAATCAGGATATTTATTTTCCACCGACCAAGCCGATTAACCTGCCAATCAGAACAACTTATTTTCACTGCCCTAGGCTGATTTTAATGCGGTTAAAATATATATAAACATCATGTTCCAGTCACAGGCTAGTCTTTGTCTTTTGATATTTACGCGGCTCAGTGAAACGGAAGGTACTGCAGACGAATAGGCGTATTTAACATTTTAGATAAGTTATCCACTGAATCAATATCATAATACCCACGCCAAAGTCCACTCGGTCATATCAGCTGACGACGGGTACGTGACAATACTTGAGTGTTTTAAACACTTTACACGTCAATAATAACACACTTAAAATATAAAATGAACGTATACTTCCTTTTAAACGTTTTTTTTTCTGTCGTCTTTTCATCAACATCATGCATACTCACTCTCACACATATACAAAATGTTCGAAAAAGCGACCGATATTGAAATAAACAGTGAATATGAACAACTCAGTATTAAATATTAACTGAGTTCACTTTAAAAATTACACAACAATTAATTAAATTCAAGTGTTGGTTTGTAGGGATTTGATTGTTTACAGGATTGCATCATGAGCTGACATTTATTAGAAAACCATTGGAAAACCTGGGAGTACTGGACAGCTGTTTCGTCCTAGTTTGGGACTCTTCAGTAGTACGCACCCACCGGGATTCGAATTTGTCGTGAATTGGCAGAGGTTAGCATTCATGGGCCACTTAATCGGTCCCAGTGGCTTAATGGTATACGAGCTCGCCTTGTAACCAGAAGGTCCTGGATTCGAACCCCGGTGGGTGCGTATGGCTGAAGAGTCCCAAAAAGGGCTGACGAAACGGCTGTTCAGTATTCCCAGGTTTTCCAATGGTTCTCTAACTGATGTTAGCTCATGACGAAATCCTGTAATCAATTAAATACTGTGAGAAGCTTAGACAGTTCACTAAATTAAATTGTGAATCCTATTATTTATGAATAATTGAAAACTACAACTACATATATGAGGCTTTTGTTATTTACTATTATACTAATGTCTACGAGAGTAAATAGATTGTAATTTATGCGAAAAGTATCAAACGTGAATCATCTATCATTTGTTATTTGGATAGAATTCAGTATACGCATTTTATCCCGTTTGGGGACTGGTCGATTGGATGTAACTTCATTTCCACGAACCCTGCACAAATCGTTTCAAACTCCAAAGTATTTCCAGTTGGCACACGGTTCGGTGTTCGGTCCCCAGCCGACGTACACCTGATATCAATGGTTGGCCTACTAAATTTGGGCTACCGATAACACATGCTAAAAATTCCATACTTGTACCAAAATACTGTGTCGAATCAAGTTATAATCAGAAATTTAGAAAGAAAATTAATAAAAAGGGAAGTGTCAAGATGGACAAACTTCTTTGTTAACCGCAAAGACGTGATTTATGCATGTACTGACAAGATAATCTTACTTACTGAACAGTTTTGATTCATCATTTTATGGCTTAATTTTCTGAGGGGTTTTGATGTCGTATAATCAATCAGATTTGTCTTATTTATAGCTTAAATTTCCAAGGATTTGTAAATATAATATACCATATATTTTGTCTAATAAAGGTTTGCATTCCAGACGTCATATTTCAAGTCTGACTTTTCTGTCTATCTCATTGTGAGAGACAATTTCAAATGATCAGCTGGTCACACTGTCATGTTCTGGGTAGGGGGCGGGGGGTGCTTTCCAGTTAAATTAGACTGACTCACAACCTAGAATCACTCCGAAATAACATACTACTACTTGCCACCAACCATAATAAAATCATGATAATCCTCAGACATAGTTGAATCATCTGTACGAGGAACCGACATATCAACACAGGAAGAGTGAATTTCAATCCAAATAGGGAGTCAGCCAATGGAAATACAAACTGACCTAGAGAAAACAAACAAATATATGGTATCCAGACATCATCTTGCGTGGTGAAACAAGGGCAGTGAAAGCTTATTCACTGCTTTATTCTAGCTCATCTTGTAGATATTGAATATGAAATCGATGTTAACAAGGCTATAAAGTTGTCTTCTATATTCCCATCAATATCACTTTCGCCATGCAAACCCGTCTGATCTGTTTAGCTCTTTCAGACGCTTTTCCTACCAGGATCATCATTGCTTTAATTAACTTTACTTGTCTCATAAATTTTCTTAATTTTCTCTGATAGTCAATTTAGTACTACATTATTTATGCTTATTATCACTTACACATACTGTGAACTGTAAATTCTACTGATATTAACAACTCGGCATTTTTATTTTGAGCAGCTGTGCTTCTATTTCTCAACCCATCACTTCCCGTTTGAATTTCACCGAACGAAATGTCCAACCAATCCATCTCCATCTGCATATTTGTTGGTTAATACGTTCTTGGTTGGTTTTCAGTCAGAGTTTATTGTTGCTTATCCTTTCGGGTGATGTAATCTTCAGTATCGAGTGAAAAGGATAGTTATTTAATAGAGGTCTGTTGAAGCCTGCAAGAAATACTTTCGTGACGCATGCACCAAGTCTTTGAACCCCCATCATAGAGAAATAACGAATCGATATTAATGTTAAAAATTCGAACTTTATTCCTTATGGAGAGTGCAGCAAGTTTCCACACTGATTTCAGATTAATTAAGGTTATTCTTACTTTTCCGATCCAATCGTGGTGTTGACATGCTCACCCGTGCGTGTCACGTGTATTTGAAACGATACTGTATGGTTAAGTGAAAGAAACAACTTTCTTTAAATATTTCCAATTGACGATGATTGGTACTTGTTGGTGTCGGTTCACTTGAAGTTTTGTGTTCGTTGACTCTTCTATCAACTTACTGGTTTTCACCTGTTAATTCAGAGTCCCTGTGATAGGATACTTAAATCATTCACAAAATCCACATCTTCTAGGGTCGTTTCATCACTCTAGCAAATGTCTGCCTTCTTACTTCCCACGGTCTGTTGCATGATCCAGTTCACCACAGTCACCTCTCTATCTCAACTTCATCGACTTTGAAAAGGCCTTCGATAGAGCAGCCTCGATCAATACGTCATTTGACAACTACTTCGCTACTACGGGATGCCATCGACAATTATACATCTCATCCAACAGTTGTACGAAAATGCTGCATGTCAAGTAATCCACAACGGGAAACTTACGGAAGCCTTCGAAGTGAGGACGGGAGTGAGGCAAGGCTGTCTACTATCGCCAATGATCTTCCTGATTGCAGTAGATGGGATAATGTGACAGACAACGGGCGATGAGGAAACAGGCATAAAATGGACTTACACAACAACAAACTTGGAGGATCTGGACTTCACCGATGATATATATCTGATTTCCCACAAACTGGAAGATATGCAAGTGAAAAGCAACAAGTCGACAAAGGAAGAAGCATCAAAGATAGGAATTCAAATGAACATAGATAAAACAGAGGTGATGAAAATTCCTGGCCAACACCACCAACAAAAACAGACAACAATCAGCCAGCATGAATGGGAGGAACCTGAAAGAAACAACCTCTTTCACCTACCTGGGAAGCATCGTTTCAACTACAGGCCGACGGAACTGACGAGGATATCAAAGCCAGAATCGGAAAAGCAAGACAAGCTTTCATTACTCTCAAGTAAGTCTGTGTGAAGGCCAACAGCACTCATCATCAAAAATAACATCCGGATTTTCAACTCCAATGTGAATTCAGTCAGTGCTACTCACTGTACGGATCAGAGACTTGCACTGCGCGTCATAAAGAGCATCTCAAACAAACTTCAGACTTTCACTAACAGTTGTCTTCGCTCAATACTCCTCTCAAGATCAGATGGCCGGCTAGAAGAGATCAGCAACAGGGATCTCTGGCAATGAGCGAATCAACTCAGCAGGAACCGATTGTGAAACAAATAGGCAGGAAGAAATGGAGGTGGACTGGCTATACGCTGAGGAAACCATCAAGTGAGTGACATCACTAGACAAGTCATTGCTCGAGTGAAACCAGGCCGAAAGGGGAATGGTGAGTTGGTCGTCAGTGCAAGGGTGACTTGGAGGAGGTCATGTGAAGAGGAGATGAAAGCATGTGGGCAGACTTGGAGCGGTTTGAAAAAGTTGGCAGAAAACCGAAGGCAATGGAGGTGCGCAGCTGAAGCCCTATGTTCCTCTAGGAATTAGAGGATATAATAATAATCGGTGACTTTTGTCAACCTTGTAGTACCCCTACATCCACTCCAAGGCAATTAAATTGAAACTGATGAACAAAATTTAGTAGCACTGTAGCCATCCAAATGTATGATGTGTTAACGCCATTTATGGTCCCTACGCATAAAGATATAAAAGTATACTGGTGAGCCTAATTTACAGTTCTGAGTTCACTTTTACATACCTTTATATAAAAACGTGACTCGTTTCAGGGTAGAGCAAAATGAACCAATCAGAATTAAGTACCACATGACCATCACACCATACTGACTATTTATTTCATACATTTATTCCCCTTAATGAATTTGAACAATGCAAGAACTACAGTTTTAGCAGAATAAAATGGTACCATCTTTTATTTCGTTGCCTTCTCGTCAGCTGCTTACATGGCAAAGACATTATTAAATATATCTACAACAACAATTTTAACATACTTGCACAGAGTTCAGTTTAAACAAAAATCAATCGATCAATATACGCATACACTAAAAATATATACATATATAAATATGCAATATTAACCACTATTCCGAACAATAATAATCAAACACAATGGAAACTTTTAGCATTTCACATTCGGAGGAAAGAGGTTTATTATCGATTAGTATATTAGCTCCTTTAAAAAAGACCATACCACAGTCATAAATATATATATATATATATATATATATGCACCATGGAATCCCATGGTTATTCATCTATTCGGACAAGTTGGAAAGTTAAAAACTTAGACAGTGATGAAAAAATAGTTTTGATAACTGGTTGGGCAATTGATGCTTTCATAGGATTATTCTTATTGTTTATTGTCATTTATGAATATTTCGATTTGTTTTGTGATTGGAGATCAGCACGATCACGAGCTAATCAAAAAAGATATACAAAAGTTTCTGATTACTTAAGAGGATGTAAGTTATTGTTAATTAAAATATTTGTTAAAAATATTATTGTTATTACTATTTTTGAGTTTGGTGTAAAACTTAGCTTATAGATCAAGGCCAAGGTAACTGATTCCATGTTGTATGTGGTGTTGAAAAGTCGAACTGAGCCGGGAGTCTAACCTGAGACAACTCGTGCCTGAAGCGAGTATCATACCCGTAGACCACTGAGCCAGTCATGTCAGTCATTATTTTAACAACTAAGTTTTAGGTGTTTGGTAACACATACAAGTGTGTAGAGAATGGCATCAACAGTTTAACATTAGACCACCTGACCGAAACAGGCCATAAAACCCTAAGACATTGAAGATTCTCTTTCTTTCATCTATTGCGAAGCAAATAAACTGCCAATATCCTCTAGGTATCCAATACTCCGAACACCAGAGATCATTATAATTTGCTAAAAAAAAACAATCAAGATTATGTGTGGAAAAGAAATTGACCCAACCGCTATTGCTATCCAGACCTACGGTGGAGCCTATACATAGATAAATTCTGTACTATTTTCCATAATTTATTTTGTATTCAATTTCGTGTTGTGTTTATGCATACTATTTCTTCGTGATGCTCTTGCACTGTAATTGAAATTGTTGTTTCGATGTTACTTTGGTCCCCTTGATAAGTTTCAATGCTCACTAGTGACTTGCTACAGGTTGGAGTTTCCTGAGTTCTAGTGAGAAGTCGTGACCAGTGAGGTCCAATTAGTTGTCACGTGTGTGGATGGATGTCCCACCAACGACAGTGGTTGGGGTCGCGCTAAATCACGAATTGGTAGAAGTTAGAATTCACGAGCCATTGAATCGGGTCCCAGTGGCTGAATGGTATACGAGCTTGCCTTGTAACCGGAAGGTCCTGGGTTCGAAACCCAGTGGGTGCATACTGCCGATGATTCCCAAACTAGGATGAAACAGCAGCTGTCCAGTACTCCCTGGTTTTCAATGGTTCTCTAACTGATATCAATCCGTGATCAACTCGTAAAAGAAACAAAGACCAGTTTGGCAGTATAAAATGATATCATTCCATTTCACAGGCTCTTATCAGCTGTTGCAAACTGCCTGAAATTACACAAGGGTTATAAAAGAGTGGAGAGAACATATTTGAATGTTTGAGTGGTAGTAGAGAAAACATTATAAGATCAAAGCATCCAAAATATAAGCATTACAATTTTTGATTTAAGTTGCCATCACTTTGTAGGCTTTCGAAATAGAAAAGGAGGGGCAAGAGAAGATAGAAAAGAAAAAAATCTACAAGGCAGCTCAAGAAGGTTATAGTTCATCAAATTGAAAAATTGCTCAGTGTGCTGAAATCATTAATATGGAGGACTAATCAAATGTAATCGAAATGCAGTTAGTACTGGAGTACTTACCAAATTCCTTCGTAGTCACCGCTGTCGAAGGCCTTTTCGAGGTCGATGAAGATGAGGTGCACTCATAAAAATACTAGGAATCTGTTTTTTGATCCACGATGACTTTCTTTTAAAATAATTCTGGCCCTTACTAACCCAGCAGCCGGATAAAATATTAATGGTTGGCAGACAATGGTCTGAACAAAAACTATGGAAAATATGATTGCAATTAAATCATAAAGGTTGTTATATTTGTATATTTGAAAGCGGGAGACACGAAGAGGCTAACTGCCTCTGATCACAAGTGTTTATATTCAGTCTCTCATTTCAAGTGATATTACCATGACGGAGTCATACTGGTTTATGGATCCGTTTAACTTGACTGGAATGTTCCTCCATAACTTGGGATTATAACCAAATGATCAATTAAAAATCTATTCTAAACTGAAATAGACTGGGAAAAACGACGGCCACAACAACTTTATTAGACAAAAGACATGGTGTATCATAGCCGTAGGTAAATATTGAAATCTGATTGTGTGACCTCAGAGGATTAAACCATAAGTAAACGAATGAAAACTGTCCACTCAGGTCATAATGCCAGTATCTGCATAAATCATGAACTCATGGCTAACAAAGAAGCTTTTTCGTCCCAGCAGGTATCCTATAATCAGTAATTATGAGGTTAAGTAAGCTGTGTCAGTCGATGAGGTTGTCAAGTTGCATCGCTCGAGGAGGCTAGGATATCGACAAGAACTATTGGCGAACATAGAGTTAGGTTAGAAGAGAGTTAGAAGTAGTTAAATCAAAACGCTGGCATTAGTCCATGAAGTCTTTGACTTTTGGTTTGGGTTACATAGGGAGGTGAAATTTGACTGACTGGGGTTCTCGAGACATTATCAATCATATGGCTGAAAATCGTTCTTAGTAACACAGATGCATTCATGTATTATGATCTCTCATATCGGTTAAATCCTCACTGTTCTCTAGGTAGTTGTGCTTTCTCCTGTACATTTCCATTCATTATACATTCTTTGCATTTTGTGTATGTATGACACAACTTGAACTGATGCACTTTTGTACAAAATTCTACTTGTAAAAGTCGATTCATTTATGTTTGTTTAAGTTTTCAACTGTTATGATATAATATTTATAACAAAGAAAAAACATCTGAAAATCACCTTACGGAAAAAGTAAGGTGAACGAATGGAAATATACAAAAGTTACCTATTGGGACATGAAAAAGAAACAAACAAGATATTCCGTGAGTAAACTCGTTTCACTGACTTCATTTACACAGCTGCATAAACACATTTGCATGTACTTCATTTTTGGTAGATGTTTCAAAGTGTTAAAAACACTCAGGCACCTCCCCCTCCACCCAAAGATTTTATAAAGTGCTTTAGGGGCACAAAATGGTGCGGAGTTCCGGTCAATTCATGACATTTCTCTTCATTTCTTTTAACGATTTAAGAGTACTTGGAAACCCTTAGGTGTGTTTTTGTAAGTTAATTGTAGTACCAAGGAGTCCCGTGCAAATAATCATACACACATAAAACAAGCCTTTGAACAGGCCTACACTGGCCCACAAGATTTCATAAGAAGTGACCAGAATATAACAATGTCAGAGGAAACTGAATGCGGTGAGAGCAGGCTAGCCAAAAATGGTAGACAGCATTTTACGTCAATGGGTATGTCGCAAACACTGGTCGTGAGAAAATAAGAACAAGACTGATTCAACAACCAATCACAGCAGACTTAGCGTAGGCAGATACAGTTAACATATAGATGACCTGACATTCATGAAACAGTCACAAAGAGATGCACGGTCAACTTTCTGTAGGAAACAACCAATCAGAAGACTGTGTTTGTCCGCTTGGATAAGCTATAATAATGTGCATGAAATATATATAAATACGTGTTGATTTCCTTAATAAACGATCTGTTTCTTGACTCGTGCATTTTGTCGTTACAAAATGGCCATAGTACATTATACTGCAGTCAAAGAAAAGACTTCACGAAGTTACTAGAGAAGATAATTACCTCTTGAAGTTTAAAAGTCATAAATCTGCACTTGTATTTCAAATGGAGTGTAGCACTGTATGGGTACATCTCCATTCTACTGGCTTCTTTGCTATTGCTTTCAACTGGTTACAGGATTACGTACAAGCCTTCATTTCCCTCTCCCGTGATATTCTCCATGTCACTTTCTGCTTCAAAATCTAGTTCCACTCAATGGCCTGGAGTATGACCCCACTCAGTGGTCTCCTCAGCATGTATCCAATCTATCTCCATTTCATTCTACACATTTCTTGGGTAATAGGTTCTCGGCTGGTCGACCTGAAACGGTTCCTTTTTGCTTGTTCTTTCTCACTGAACATCTGACTTTCAGTATCTAGTTAAGGGCGTATCCATCGATGGAAAAGCATTACTATTTGAGTTGAAAAAGTCTTCGTAAAACTGATCATCAGTCATTCAGTCTATGATTCATTTTGTGAAAATTAAAATTTATTACTGAAAATCATAAAATTCAATCTAGCATTTATGCGAATAATACTTTTCTCAATATTGTATGTACTACTGAATTATATGAGTAGTGGGAAACTACTCACTTTAACTAGTTGTAGTACTTGCTGCTGCACAACCGATGATTTCCGGCCTATATCAGGAAGTTGAAGAAAGTGTAGATGAATTGGCTATACGCTGAGGAGACTGTTAAATGAAATCATGTGTCAGGTAAACCCTTGAGTAAAACCCCAATGGGAAACGACGAGTTAGGCGTGATTTCGAAAGTGACACGGAGAAGATTGTGTAAGAGGAAACGAAAGCCAATGAACAATCATGCAGTCAGCTAAAAAAGGCTGCAGAGAACTCAGAGTGAGATAAATATGTGCTACTGAGGTCATATGTTCCATTCAAAATCTAGAGGAACAGTAATAATAATGATAGACAATCTGGATGTCTAGTGCTTAAACCATGTGGTCTAATTCCTGTAAACACAGCGGGTTTATGTTGGGGGGTGGGGTAGGGTGGGGGTGATTTCCTTACTTTTTATTTGTATATCATTTACAGTGCCATTTTGATCACATAAAATGATTTAGCTATTCTGGAATTTCCAAATGGAAACTCAGGATAAAACTTCGTCTGGAACTTTGTGTTTGACATATACTTAACTTTATCTTCTGATATTCTTTTGTCTTTGTTTCACATCGATCAACTGATCAATTGATAAATCATTATTACAGCTGAAAATATTGTTCCATTGTCTCAGGCTGCTGATAAGATTCCTCGTTTATCTATTGGTGAAATTGAAGGGACTGGAGCATTTATTGAAGATAAACTGTCGAGTAAGTTTACTATGGCTGGTTTGCTGTTAAATATCATATTTTCTTTTGTTTTTAAGTGTGAATACATTACTGATCATATTCTAAGAAATTTGAAAGTGAAAGATGCCAAAAAATGGCGATTTTCTACACTATTTGTTAGATAGCTGTCGTGAAATCGATGCATTAAAATCCTTTAAGATAATCAAAGTTCAAAATAATTCCAGGTTACTATGCGTCAGTGAAGCTATTGCCATGAAATGAATGAAACAAAATTTATGTACTCAGAAGAATACCGCTGGTTAGCCTTGCTGCTATCCCATGTGTTATGACCGAAACTAAGACCTAGTAGACTATGAGCGAATATTAACCTAATGCGATGGCTAATCTGTCCTAATTGCACGATGACAACAACAGAAATAATACCGTGGGGTCAAAAGGACAGAAGGGAAGACTGGATGTTGGCAAGAGAGCCTTTTTACTGTCTCGAAACAACAGTCCAAAAGGTTAACAGTGCTCGCATATTTGTATGTTCAAAGTGACCTTGGGAAGCACTAATCTCATTGATAGACTAAGATAGTGAACAACCAATAGGATTTCAAGGACCACAAATAGCGTGAGAGAAAATCAGGTCAAAAATCAATAAGTGGGGTGAGAAAAATACAAACAAACATGTAAAAATGACTTGTAGATAATTAGGTCTATATATCACCATGGTAAATACATCTTACGTTATTTTAATAATTATTTTGTTTTTTGACAATGTAATTTCCTACTCTTAATTTCGTCTTCATCAACATTCTTGACCGGACCCCTTTTCTTGACCTCCGTTAAATTAAATTATTTAGCTGTAACATAAGTGTATCATCTGTTTTACACCTCTTTTCAGTTTTCAGTATTCATTTGTTATTCTACAATACTCTGTAATTATTTCGAGAAATACTAATCAGCTTAAAAACACAATGTTAAGTTAGTCATTTCTTCCAAATGAGCAGAAAATTGCCCTGCCTGTCACGAAAAAGGATTTTCAACAGGTTACAAACTTTTATCAACAGCTGCCTTTGCTGACTTCATAATGAAGATCAATTTGCAAGGCCGGAAAGAATTAGCTACAAGAAACTCTGGCAATAAACCAACCAATAGTCGATTGCTCAATAAATATATAAGAGAAAATGGAGATGGGTCGGTCATACATTGAAGAGACCGTCGAATGAGTTCATCGCTTCAGTCCATTGCTTGAGTGGGACCTGAATAGGAAGAGACATGGAGCAGATGAGAGATTATGGGCAATCGTGGACCCGTCTCAAAAGGACAGAACAACATGGAGATGTGTTGTTGAAGCCATATGTTCTACTCGGAACCGAAGTAGATAATCATAATAATAATAATTATATTCAATCACATGGTATTAGTATGCTTCAATCTTATGATTAGTATGACTAAAGTATCTGAATATTTGTTTAATGATATCAAATTGTTTATGGTTGATTGCTTGCACTTGAGAAAAACTAACGAAGCATAATGACATCTCTTTATTCCTCTCATTATCTTATTGTTTTTGCTTTCTTCAAGTTTATTAATGGAAATAATTGTGTGAAATATTATTACTACATAAAATTTGGTTTGATGTATTTGCTGGATAAAATTCATAGTGAAATTATAGCCAGCATGACTGTGATAGAATTCAGTTTGCCCCAAAACAAAGGACTAAATGCATAACATTAGTTACTATATGAAGCCCAACCAAATCATTCATTACTGTTCTACAGGAGATCAACTGCGAGCCCAAGGAATCAGAGGTAACTACTCTGTCCTACAGCACTGACTGACCTAGATTATAATCTTAGGAGGAGCTTGAGTTCCATCAATATCGCAAGTAGGCTTTATTGACGAGTTCATACAAGCACGAAATCTAAGTGGTCCAAAGCTTCCTGTCGACTGCCTCCAACCATCTAGTGACAACAATTCAGAGTGCACCATGATGAACAGCCAGCCACCTAGCCTGGTGGCCACATTGTAAACTTGATCGATATAATTCAGTCTGCACCAGCACCGAGGATTAGATGTGTGCGATTAGTTACTACCGAGTGTACAATGAAAATACGGCCTGACCAACTTTACTTCAGTATATAGGACGCCTTGGTATTAAGAAGATTAAGAACTAAAGCACCCTATATATATATATATATATATATATATATATGTTTCAAAACATGAGTAAATAACTTCAAATTACACCCGTTGCACTCCCATGTCCCATTGGCCTAATGGATAAGGCTTTGACATTTTATACAAGTGGTGTTATGTTCAAAACTTCGGAGAAACATTTCAACCTACTGTGACACAAGTAAATCTAACTGACGAGTCTCAAATGGGGTGAAACACGAGTCCTGAATACTACTGTTAGCCAAAACAACAAACAAATAACTTCTAAATTGTAGCTGCATGAAATGGTCGAATTCTGAACTGTTTGTTTAAAAAAAGCTGATTAGAGATAATAAGTAACTTTTAAAGTTATTCTTGACTGTAGGCAAACAACTGCTAAGTAGCTAATAAGATCTCAAACTACGCTGCAGACAGTGTAATACTTTGAGATGAAGTGAAGAATTATTAAAAATCAAGAATGATAACACTGATGACACCGTATTCCCCTAGTTGTATCAGGGCATACTTGAAAGTTTTCTGTTTCTTTTTTCAAATAAAACTTCATTTTAATACTCATAAGTAGTTAGTGATTATCAATGATATTTTTTGTCTGTTAATGTTACTGTTCTCATTGACACAGACCAGTATTTTCTTCTGAGATATTCTTGTAAGCTGAGTACAGTGGAAGGTATTTAAGGCAGGATAGTGGTATTTGGTAATTACTGGATTTTATTCACTCGAGCTCAACAGTTAGTAACCAGCCAACATCCCTGTAATGTTATATACAGTTATAACATGAACCTAAAAGAAACAACCTCTTTCACCTACCTACCTACCTGGGAAGCATCGTCTCAACTACAGGCGAACGGAACTGAGAGAGGATATCAAAGCAAGTATCCGGAAATCAAGACAAGCTTTCATTACTCTCAAGTCTGTGTGGAGGTCAACAGCACTCATCATCAAAAATAACATCCGGATTTTCAACTCCAATGTGAATTCAGTCAGTGCTACTCACTATATGGATCAGAGACTTGCACTGCACGTCATAAACAGCATCTCAAACAAACTTCAAACCTTCATTAACAGTTGTCTCCGCTCATTACTCCGCTCAAGGTCAGATGGCCGGCCAGAAAAGCTCAGCAACAGGGATCTCTGGCAATGAGCGAACCAACCAGGAACCGATTGTGAAACAAATATGCAGGGAGAAATGGAGATGGATTGGCTAGTCATACTCTGAGGAAACCATCAAGTGAGTGACATCACTAGACAAGTCATTGCTCGAGTGAAACCAGGCCGAAAGGGAAATGGTGAGTTGGTTGTCAGTGCAAGGGTGACTTGGAGGAGGTCATGTGAAGAGGAGATGAAAGCATGTTGGCAGAAAGCCGAAGGCAATGGAGACGCGCAGCTGAAGCCCTATGTTCCTCTAGGAATTAGAGGTTATAGTAATAATAATAATAATAATAATAATAATAATAATATGAACACACTAACAACGACAGATGATTCACATATCACATTACTTGTCATTTGATTTATTTTATCTTAGTTTCTGTTCTCCTAGAATACAGTGAATCTTTGATATTTTTTACTTTCAAAAGATTTGAATTCTTGATCGTAGATCAGGGAAAAATAATCTTTAGGCTGTATTTTTTTGACTGATGAAGGTTACCTGTCTAATTTTTCTTTTAGGGAGTAATGCGTGCCAAATTCACTCTATTCCACTTTGTTTTAGCAATTTAATGACATCTTTGAAAAACAGTCTGTACTGAAATGTCGGGTTACAAAGGAAACTGTGGTGATATAATCACTTCGATATGGCTAGCTAGCACTATTGGTTGATGTGAATAGTATCCAACCGCCCGTGTCAACCAACCAGTAGTATATAGCCACATTCTACTCTCTTATTTCTAGACTTCGTATGAGGAGTAGATAAAAACACGGCAAATATTCTGTATTGTTATGGTTTATAACTTTCACAAAGACACATTTTGCACTATAGTTTAAATCTCAATTTAAAAACCTCCACGTGACGTCTCACACTACTTAAATAACAGTTAGTAACATAATGAAATAGCAATAATTAGCCCTACTCTTAATTTTTCTTTTTATCTGTATTCCCCTTTACAATACCTTATGAAAAAGCTGAACTGAAGAAGGATGAATTATCTGATGAAGACGATGAAGCAATTGAAACTGATCAATTTACTATACCAAAAGAATTAATAACAATTTCTGCAAAAGGAGCTGATTCTGCTTCGCCACTTGATAAAGCTTCAAGATGGTTAAGTCTTTATAAAGAAGAACCACAGGGTAGTGAAAAGGGTAAAAAGCTGAAATTAAAGCGTAAATCAAATGCTGTTGGTAGAGTGAAAAGGAAACAGTGTAAGCTAAAAATGATTTTTACTGTTATCATCATTATCATCCCCATTATTACTGAGTTCCTTGCCTTCTGAATGGAACATGGAGCTACAACCTTTGACCTTTCATTTTGACAGTTCATTTGAAGTAGAGATGCAACGATACCAGATCGTCTCAACTTCCTTACATAGAAAGTCAAACGAAATATCTTTCTGGTAAGTGACATGATGTGGGAAGACTAGGAAAAATCAGAGGAATCACACATTCCAACGTATTTTACACTCAATTTAGTTTCAACTTCAATGCCATCTATGGTAGTGGAACTGTGCGAACTGACCAGTTCATATAAGTTGCGCTTGCATCTGAAAATGAAATTCACCACCTGACATCTAGAGGGGTCAAGCTTAACATCATTTGACGAGGACCACTGATTGATTTCATTTTGCAACAGTCTAACTGAGAAGTAATGGGCATAGAAACAGTCAGGTCATCAGCATGCTTATCAAAATTTGCTTCTCAGAATGGGGCAAGTCATGTGAGAAGAAGGAAAACATAAAAGGAGAAAGAACAGCTGCCTGAAGAACACTAGCTAGCGTAAATGAAGCAATGGAGGATCTCCCATTGTAAAGTGCGTACTGCCTTCTACCAGAAAAACAGATCTGCAACTAATTGGCAATCAAGTTTAGTGCTTGTTACGCAGCAAGCTTGTTTAACAAAAAAGGGCCTAGGCAGATTTGTAATCTAGGAAGGCACAGCGAATACATTTGGAACCTTTATCTAAACTAAAGACAATATTGTGATATATGACGACAGTGGCATTTAAAGTACACCTACTACCTATATAAGCAAATTGATTAGGGTCGTAAAAACCCTCAATGAAGACTCGATGTTAAGTAAAAGCAGTCTTTCCGTTATTTAAAAAAGGTAAGGTAATAGCAATAGGTCTGAACTTAACAGTTGGTTGACTTGATGATTTAGGCACAGGAATAATTTTAATGCCCTTCCAAGAAGCAGGCACAATGTTACTGGAAAATCATTCATTGGAAATACCAGTGAGAACATGACTTATTTATTGAGAATAATTGCTGATACACCATCTGGACCAAGGGACTGGGTAGGTTTCAGGGATCTGAGACTCTTAAAGACATCGTTTGAGTTAAAACCAGAGAAGCGGGAATCATTTGCACTTGTAGCATTTGAGATCATAACATCAGCTGGACGACATAAGAAGGATTTATTAAGAGTCCCAGCGTCAAATGAAGAAGGACCACTATTTATTAACTTACCCCCGGTGATTTCCTTAAATAGCTTCCACATATTTGGTCAGGTTTTGCATGGTAAGCATTTCCATTAGGTGTGGTGTTGTTCATAAGACGCGGGGTTACTGGTCTAATGCCCAAACTCCCCTCTTATCTGGAAAGCACACTCCAATACTCCGTAACGCTCTTTCTACATCTCCCTGGAAAAATTCGTAGCAATAGGTTGAAACCTATTTGAAGTAGGTGTAAGCAAAGATTGAGGTTCAAGGATTCAATTAAGCAAATAAAACAACATGAGATACAGTAGATGTGACACAATTTTGGTGGTATTGTTTTTATTATGTACGCAACCAAAGAAGGAATCACTTCAGAAGGACTGTATATGACCAACCTCAAGCAGCTCTCTCCTAGGATCTTCAGTCACATAATACTAATCCTCTTTCTGTATCAGATGTTTCAAGACATTCAGTTAAGTTTAGAGGTTGTACGACATTAAATTTTAGCACTGATTGTTGAATAATGGTACGTAAGGAAGGTATAAGTGACCAGTGTGTTATAGGCACCTCTTTTATTCGTACTAATCTGAAGTGTCTTTGGTAGTTTTGATTATATTTCTCTTATTACGCTTTCGTAAAGATTTACTATGCTGATAAATCCGTCTGTATTTTTATCCTATTTACTTTATTATTATTACTCCCTTGGGTTCCTAGTGAAACATAGGGCTTCAACTGTACGTATTCATTTGTTTCTGTCTTCTGCTGTACTTTTCAACTGCATCCATGTTAGTCCATACTCTTTCAACTCCTCTTCACACGATCTTTTCCATGTCACCCTGGGACGTCCCACACGCCGCTTCCCTTTCGGGTTCCACTCGAGGGCTTGACGCACGATGTTACCCAGCGGTCTCCTCAGCGAGTGACCGATCCATCTCCACTTTCTCCTGCATATTTGTTGGTTGGCGATTGGTTCTTGCTTTGTTTGTTCCCATAGTTTCTTGTTGGTGATTCTTTCCGGCCCGGCTATGTGATCTTCAGTATAGAGCGAAGACGGTTGTTAATAAAGGTCTGGACCCTTTTAGAAAAGTTCTTTGTGACTCTCCAAGTTTCTGATCCGTATAGAAGAACTGACTTTACATTTGTACTGAAAATTCGAATTTTGTTGTTGATGCTGAGTGACGAAGATTTCCAGATTGATTTCAGGTTGATGAATGTGTTTCTCGCCTTCCGATCCTCGCTCGATTTGACATCCTCGTCCGTTCCTCCGTCCCTGTAGTTGAGACAATGCTCCCTAGATAAGTGAGTGAATGAAGTAACCTCTTTCAAATCCCTCCCGTTGATGGTGATTGACGCTGGATGTTGCTGCTGTTGTTGTTGGCTGGTTATTTTCATAACCTCCGTCTTGTCTATGTTCACTCGGAGTCCTGTCTTCTCCGGCTGCTTCTTCGACCAGTTTGTCGGTTTTCGCTTGTAAGTCTTCGATTTTGTGTGACATCAAACATAAATCATCCACGCGCGAAATCCAGGTCTTCTAGGTTCTTCACGTCGGTCCAGGATATCCCTGTCTTCTCGTTTCCCACTCACTGTCCGCCACAATTAGGAATATCATTGGTGATAATAAGCACCCTTGTCTGACTCCTGTGTTTACTCCAAACGCCTTGCTGAGTTTCCGTTGTGGATCACTTGACATGTGCCGTTGTCGTACAGCTGTTGAATAAGGTTGATGAATATTTGGGGTACGCCATAGTACTCGAGTAATTTCCAAATTACTTCACGATCAACGCTGTCGAAGGCCTTCTCAAAGTCTATAAAGTTGAGGTAGAGGTTTGATCGCCATTCCATGCTTTGTTCTGTGATGATGATGCGTAGAGTTGCAATTTGGTCAGTACATGATTTGCCTTTCCTGAATCCAGCTTGTTCTGGTCGGAGTTCTGTCTCCAGTGCGTCCTTTAATCTCTCCAGGATGATGCGACTCAGGATTTTACTTGGCGTCGACAGGAGCATGATTCCTCGCCAGTTCTTGCAGAGTCCTAAGTCGCCCTCCTCCAGTCAGTAGGCACCTTTCCCTCCTTCCAGACCTTTTGCAATAATGGAGTCAGCATGTCTGCTGTCGTCTCTGGGTCCGCTTTCAGTGCTTCAGGGGGTATTCCATCTGGTCCAGCTGTTTTTCCAGCTTTCAGAAGCTTGATTGCATTCAAGACTTCAGCTCTCGTTGGAGGATTGGTGTCAACTTGCAGTTGTGTGCGCGCTGTTGTTGGTATTTCTGGACGGGTTGCAGGTGATGGTCGGTTCAAGAGTCCTTTGAAGTGATCCGCCCATTGTTTAATCTGTTTTTCTTCCTTGGTAATTGGGTTCCCTTGGCTGTCTTTTATAGGTTTCGCTTGTGTTGATCTCTTCCCGGATAGAGATTTGGTTATCTGATATAGTGTCCTCAGGTCCCTTTTGCCTGCTGCCTTCTCAGCTTCAGTGGCGAGGTTGTCGTAGAATCGTCTTTTGTCCTTCCTAGCACTCTTCTTCACTTCTTTGTCCAGTGCTTTGTAAGTTGAGCTCAGCGTCTCCTTCTCCTGTCCGTCCTTGCATTGAATCATTTTCTCTTTCACCATTCTCCTCTCTTCTATTAATTTCCAAGTGTCCGTTGAGAGCCATTCCTTGTCTTGTCTCTTCTTTCTTCCTAGAACCGTTGAACACGTTTCGTTGAGAATCGCCTTCAGAGACTTCCAATGTTCTTCCACGCATGATTCTTCAGTGATGTCGCGTAGTGTTTCCTGCTTTGCTCTGACAGTTGCAGTGAAAGTGTCTTTTGTGGTTGTGTCCTTCAGTTTGAGTGTTGAACTTGCATTGTGGCCTATCCCCAGCTATCCTCGAGGCTTTTAGTTTCACCTTGAAAGTCCCTTGTACTAGATAGTGGTCTGAACCCACATCTGCTCCTCTCCTTGACCTTGTGTCCAGTAGGCTCCGTCTCCACTTTCTTGAAATTGAGATGAAGTCTATTTGGATTTTGGTGTTTCCATCTGGTGAAATCCATGTCGTCTTGTGTATATCCTTGTGTTTGAACACACTACCACCAATCACCAAATCATTGAAGGCGCAGAAGTCTGAGAAGAGTTCACCATTGTCGTTCATTTCGCCGAGGGCCTCACGACCCATGGTGAGTTCTCTTCCTGTGTTGTCTCCTCCCAGCTTCGCATTCATGTCGCCCATCAGGATTTTGATATCGCCATTTGGGACGTTGTCCATTATTGCTTGTAGTTGTCTGTAGAACGCCTCCTTCTTCTCTTGTTCTGAGACGTTTGTAGGCGCATAGCATTGAATGACTGTAACTTTCCTTCCTTTTGAGTTGAACCTGGCTGTCATTATCCTGGAGGAGATTGGTTCCCACTGCATGAGAGCTTTGGTTGCTGTTGGTGACATCATGATGGCCACTCCCTCGGTGTGCTCGTGGTTGTCCTCTGGGTGGCCGGAAAGATTACTGTCTCTCCAGTAGGTAGTTGGCACCTTCCAGTTCCGTTCCATCTGCTTTCGCAGATTCCCAACACTTCTATTCTGTACCTTCTCATTTCAGCGGCTATCTGGGCAGCCTTTCCAGTTTCGTACATTGTACGAACATTCCAGGTACCCATCCTTACTTTTGCTTTCATCGAAAGAAGGCACATCGGCTGACTGGCTTCCCGAAGGCTTTCACCAGCCTGCGTCATTTCACTTCCCCGATTCCAGCGAAAAGTAAGGCTATTGCTTATGTTTTTAGAATTTTTAATATATTTATTCGTTGAAGTTTCTGTAGCGATTTGGTTGTTTTACAGGGGTGGAGTTGCTAGCACCACGCCCCAACCCTCCCTCTTTACCTGGGCTTGGGACCGGCTAGAAAACTAGAAAGCTAGTAGCCTAGCAAGCTATTAATCTGGCGAGGTTTACTTTGGCGTCGGTGATTTAGTGATAGAATGTCCTCCAACCACGTGTCAATCAGTCCAGGTTAGATTCCTGGCTGATTCACTTCTAGATCTTGTCCAAATGGTAGTAAGCCTGAAAAAGAGGGAGGGGATTGGGCGGGAGACTAGCAACCCCACCTCGCAGGAGATAAAAACACTACCACCACTATAGTGAAAATTCACAGCTGAGGTTTGAAGTCCTATGTTCCATTAGAAATGCAAAGGGATAAAAAACTAGACAGTGACTTCTTATATTATTCTCTTAATTCAGACTTTTCACAGTATAGATCAGCTATAAAATGTGTTTAACCCTATCGATCATTTGTCCTCAGGGACCTGGCTGATCATCAAATAGACATTAAACGTTGTGTGAGTACGGGTGACTGTCGATGATATGTTGTTGTGTTCTCATAAGAGGACGTTTTCACTGAAAAGCTTTCAGTCACCTTTTAGACAATATCTCCTAGGCTAACTTCACTATGAAGTTCAATATGCCTAACTAACTAGTGATAGACTATTCAAGGTTCATACAATTATTTCCCTTGACAAACTTGGAAAAAGTAAGGGGAAGGTATACGTAAAGTGGTATAGGCAATTGGAAGTAACATAAAAGGGGAACTTGCCAAATGTAGACGATCTCAGTCAGCATTTCATTCGGTGAATTGTGACTAACCTGGCAGCTAGATAAATTCGTTTAGGGAACAGCTTTCACTACATATTTAATTCACCCAGAAATGTCATTATCTTCAAATCAAAAATTAAGGAAGACTGGTTTCTTCCTAAATGTATCAAATTTCGCTTTTATTTTTGGGATTCTCTCGTATTTATCAATGAAGTTTTGAGGCTATCCATTTCCCAGTAAAAAGACATCTCAATAATGGCGAGTTCAAAGAAGGTTTTTCACTGCAGTAGATTAGAGTTATCAGTCGACACATTTTTGTAGCTTATTGGACAAAAGAATGACCCCATTCTGAGGAACGATGATTAAGCTGCAATATATAAGCTGAGATTTTGTAAATTCTGATTCAATAATACTTTGATAAAGCTATCAGCAGCATTAAATAGCGAAACGTCAGTAAAAACAAGTGTATCGTTTTGTTTTTCATTCATTAGAAAATACAAAAAAACCTTTATTATAATGAAAAATTAATGAAATTCAGATATAGTCCATTTCAGGATTCTTTACTATGAATGTATCCTTGTATACTTCCATCTGTAGTTCGTGTAAGTTTGAGATCCATTTTGGTTCACATTTCATAGCGAAATCTCTATTCAAATGTAGCCTGTTAAATAGGTCAAATAAATAGGAGGCATGTTTAATATTGTGTCATCAACATATCTCTTGTTAGGTGTCATATCATCTACCTATCGCAACTTCATCAATCTAGTTGTATACTGCATTGTTGAACTTGAATTGAGCATTCTTAGTGCATATCAATTCCTGGTTATGCAGTGGAAGTAAATTTGAATGTTGACATATAGTTTCAGCAGTTTTTCCCAAATAGACGACTGTAAATAATGAGGATACTATGTCCAACGATACTATGAATTTAATGGAGATATTTGTCTCCTAACTTCTCAACAAATTCAGAACTGTCTTTCAGACAGTGTACTACCAGGTTTTCATGAACTGCTTCTAACTTTTCAACTAACCATCTAGGGAGTTTATTATAAAGATGTAGGCTGCTAACTAGTACCAATAAAATATATAATGATGTCATTTTTATCGGGCTCAGTGCGTTGTTTTTGCTTCGTTCAAGTTCACATCAACAGAAATAGCTATATGAAGTTATTCTTTAGTCAGTGTCGGTCAGAGGAGAAAGCTAAAATGAAATGGGGGGGGTTATATGCTCATTTATCCTTTTCTTCTTCATATTTTAGTGCATCGAAGACCTCATCCAAGCAGTCAGTCTTTCTTGCCAATATCTAGAGCTGCAACAGATGAATTAGCTGGTGAATCATCTGAAAGTGAGCTAGAGTCAGCTAGTGAAATATCTGTTCAACGAGATCCAGTTGTCACTCAATGGGATAAAAATAATAGACAAGAGAGAAAAAAGAGACTGTGACAGAGAAAGCGGAGAAAAAATATTCAAGAAGGTGAATAAACAATGAAAGATTTACGTATATTTATTAAAATTTATCTCAAGTAGAATTAATTATTTTTATTGTCGGTAATAATGCCTAAGTAATTAGTATTTCTGAAGAAACTAGTGAACTCCACAACAGTTATTGGTTAAGAGCACACAGCTTCAAAAACATCTCTCTATTTCACCCAGTTCTCTGCATTTCTTTTCAGCTGTCTCCACGACTGCCCATAAGTTTTCGTTTCCACCTCACATAATCGCCTCTATGTCAATCTTGGAAGCCCCAACTCGTCGTTTTCCACTTAGGTTCCACCTGAGGTCCTGCCGCACGATGTCACCCAACGGCTTCCTCAGTGTGTGGCTGGTCCATCCACCTTCATTTTATCTAACATATTTGTTGGGTTATGAGATTTTTTGTTGGTTCGTCGTCAGGGTTCCTTGATGCTTATCCATTGCAGATGGGCATCTCATTTTCAGTATCAAGTGATGTCAATTTTTTATGAATGCCTGAAGTGACCTGTTGCGAATGCTCTCACTGAGTTTCACTCCGATTCTTTGAATCACATAGAAGCTGTGAGTGATTTGACATTAGTGTTGAAGACTTAAATCTTGTTTTTTTTTGCTGAACATATCAAATTTCCACACGGATTTCCGATCCTGCTTTTGACAACCTCATCTGTTCCTCTTGTAGTTAAAATGATTCTGCCTAGGTGACTTTCACTATATTTCTCTCACTGATGATGACCGGTGTTTGCTGTTGCTGTCAGCTGGGTGACTTCACCACCTCGGTCGTCTGTATGTTCATTTGAAGTCATGTCTCCTCTGTCTCTTATGTTGGCATGCTTGCAAATCTCCAAATCTGTGTGACATGAGACATAATTCATCAGTAAAGTTTATATCTTCCAGTTTCTTCTCATCGGTTCAACATATTCCCATCTTTTTGTGCTTCCCACAATCCGTTGCACGACCCACTCCATCAGAATCAGGAATATCGTGGTGACAGTATGCAGCCTTGTACTACAACTATCTTCCCTTCAAAGCCATCGCTAACTGGACCCTATAGGCCATTGTTGTATAAAGCAGCCAATAACGCGTACGATCATCAAGGTCATGTGTTAAGCTGAAAAAATCAATAAAATCGCATTTTTTAAATGAATGACATATACTTAATTCCACTCCTGTCTATGAATAAATTACTTCCTTTTTGGATAGTTAATAGTCAGATTTGACAAAAAACAAAGAGAAATAATGAACACTACATCTTTTTCACCAACAGGTTTTACACTGATCACCTTACACAAAATGGATATGAAAAATCAACGCCCACCATCTGATTTACCAAATTCAACATGGTTACCGAACAAATCAGATTATAAAAATAATTTAATTATATTGACATATTTTTTGATTGATCTATTCAGTTGTACAATAATGATTATTGCATTGTTTTATGTATGGTATCCACTTGGTATTGAGAAGAAAAAGAGAAAAGTTATTTCAGCTGTTTATGATATACCAAGTGTAAATAATCTGGGTAAGTGTGACAGTTGTAGCAGTGGCAACTGTGCTACATCTGTTTTGCTATATCTGTCTCTAATATACTGTGAAAATGTCCTAATTTCTCATTGAGATGATTATTGACACTTCAAAGCAATTTCTATGCATAAATTCATCTAAGTGACTCTACCATATCCTTTTGTGAACAGTTTACCATTATATTCCTTTTTAAACATGCACCTAAAATCCTCCCATAGAATTAGTGTGGGGACCAGTTATCGGATCGACGAAACCTAAAGAACGATTGATTTTATGGTGAATATAATTTAATGATGATAAGTGGGGACATCCTTTCCATTCGTGTGTGTGAACAATGGGAAATGGGACGGTCAACCGTTGTTTTATTGGTAGTAGAACATCAACAGCATTGTTTAGAATCCTTTGTGTGGAGCTTATTCTCAAAGTAGTACCATACAGTCCCAAGACCCAAACTTGGCTAGCTCGTTATCTGTCTAGGATGCTTTTGCGTTTGATAGGAAAAACTTCATCAGTATTAACAACCACATCAACTCCTTTCAGTGTAACAGTAATTCGATTCATCCTTTCGGATGCAATATCCTGACAGTACTGATACTCTTCCACTCTTGACACCACGCTACTCTCTGTTTTCACTACAGAAGCAAACACTAGACTTTTCAACTGCTGGTTGTGACAATGTGACGGGACCTTCTGATTAGTGAAGGTTAAGATTCTGAGAAGAAAGCATAAAAAAATCACCATAATGTACTGCTTACCGGCTCTTGCCAAATTCCTGTCATAAGAAGTACTACAAACCATCAGTTCCCTGCCAGTACTTTTGAAAGAGTCATATCCCCTTCGCATGCTGAGGTTAAACCTTTGCTATCAGTCCACTTTTAACATCTTACTCAAAAAACCAAGTCAGGGTAAAAGTTATAACGAAGCAATCATTTTGACCTTTGAGCAATCTGAATGGTTTGCTCAAGATAATTTGGCAGTGGTATCTATTCTTTGTGGTTGCCGCTGTTAGAGTAGATTTAATTCAGGAAAGTCTTGTCTTTCAACTCCACCTGCTCAAGTTGAATGATAAGCATTTGAATGAATATCAATACTTCTATTTAAAACTGGAAGTTGTTCATGCGACAATATCAAGTGGGGAAACAATTCAATATTCTCAAACTATCTTAAATGTGTTTGTTGCAAAAATACTACTTTCTTGTGCCTAAATTATTCTGATTTACTCTGACTGGTAGTTTCAAGATCTTTGGGATTACTATTTTCCAACTTTATGTTTTGAAAAATCTCTGAATAATTTCACTGTTGATATGATTATCTTTCTCTTATGACTTTTTGATGCCAACATTTTTCCTCCTTACAAGTTGAGCATTAAATATTGAAAGGTAGATTTGATTTAGGAATAGATATCGACCAGGGAACTCTTGAAAGTTGTTTGTTTCGCTTTGATTCCTTTTAGGCGTCTACATCCACAGCTATATGAAAGACCAAACTCAGAGGTTTTGGATTACCAAGAGATGATTTTATCGTTGAACTACTAGATATGAAGATGATGTCAAGTAATCTTTGACTTTTGTTGATCTGTAGAAAGCTTCATCAGTCAACTATCGTGACTTCTCGTCAGGACTTAGGGAAATTCTTATCTCATACGTAGTAACTTATAAGTACTCTAATAAAACTCATGTATATTAGGTTTTAAAGAAGATTTTGATCCTTTTTAAGGTGGATCTTATCAGGAATCAAAATAAATGACTTCAGCGAGACGACCACTGAAAATCACCAGGAAGTACTGGACAGTTGTCTCGTCCTTGTCTGGGGCTTTTCATTAGTACGCACTTATGACCTCCCCCACTCGTGGTCGATGCCAGGACCTTCAGGTTACAGGACGAGCTTATATACCATTCACTCACTTGGACAAAATCCAGTGACCCATGAATTCCAACATCTAACAGTTCGCGATATATTACACGACTGACAGTCACTACCCTCGGTGAGCATCTGTCGTCACACACAGTTTGGCGGATTCCGCTGGTCACGACTTTCAACAGGCAACTTCATCCTTAAGCCAGTCACTAGTGATCATTGTGACTGATTTTCAAATGTTGGTTTGCAGGAGAATTCGCCTGATCGTGAATATGACACCATTCGACTGATGGTGGTTGATAGTGTGGAATTCTTCACTAAATGACAGAACAGTCAATTTCTCTAGCGTTCGTTTGTTTAAAATTGTGTCGAAGAAGACAGTTTATTTTTATATGAAATAACTTAAAACTTCTGAGATAATAGTGTATTGGACAAAAACATCGTCATTGTCTACAACACGCATTAAAACGATCTGTACACTGACATATAGTTTGCCTGACTTGTCCAAAAATGGACCAATTAAAGTTTACTGAGTGCTACTCTAAGTGAAAGGTTTGAAATGAAGAAAAGAATAAGACAAGGCTGCCTAGTATCATAATGATATTTCTGGACCATGCAGCAGACTGCGGGGAGCGAAAAAACTGCCATACGTTGAACCGACAAGAAGAAACTAGAAGATTTTTGGACTTCGTAGACGATTTATGTCTTATGTCACACACAAAGACAAAAACCAACAAGTTGATAAAAGAAGCAGCGAAGACAGGACGTCGAATGTACCAAGAAAAGATAGATGTGATGAAGATACCTAACCTGCAGCAGCAAGGATCAATCACCATCGATGGAAGAAATCTAATAGAAGTTACCTATTTCACTTATTCGGACACCGTTATTTCAGATACAGAAGGCGCCGATGAGGATATCAAAGCTACAGTCAGAAAAGCAATACAGATTTCCACTAATCTGAAACCAGTATGGAAATCTTCTGCACTCAGTATAAAAAAGCAAAGTTCGGATTTCTAATAGTGATGTCAAGTCAATCAGTTCTTCTGTATGTTTCAGAAACTCGGCGTATCGCCAAAAGTATTTCTAATAAGCTTCAGACTTTTATCAGAAGCTGCCTTCACTCCATAGTGAAGATCAGATGGCCAACTAGAAAGAATTAGCAACAAGAAACTTTGAGAATAAACCAACCAATAACCTACTAGTCAACAAATATGCAGAAGAAAATGGAGGTGGATAGGACAGATACTGAGGAGACTGTCGGGTGACATCGCAGCCAGGCTATTGATCGAATGGAACCCGAATGGGAAATGACGATCTGGGTGTGGGCCAAGTGTGCCATGGAGGAGATAATGTGAAGGAGAAATAAAGGGCTAAGTGTAATCATGGTGCCAGATAAAATGACTACAGAGAAAAGGGTGAATTGGAGGTATGCTGTTCGCACATATGTGCAAAGTTCTATGTCGAAAACAAACAGAGGGATGCTGTTCGCGCCCTATGTTCCGCTCTGAACCCAAGGGAATAATAATAATAGGCGTCTTGTTTGTGAATACACTTTCAACTCACCTGAATATCTCTACTTTATTTCATTCAGTAGTCAGTCTGAGAAACTGACACTGGTGACTGATAGTCGCTATTCGTCCATCATTTGACAACTGTAATGCCCTGAAGCATACCTTAGCGAAACAGTGTTCGAACACACGGTCTAATACTTGTAGTTAATTGCCATAAATAATTAACTAACCAAGTGAAGGATTTTCAGGATGACATATATTACTCTTTGATATGAGTAGTTGAGAGTTACACGCGTTGAGTAGTAGTACGTGGCAGCTCGATTGAAGGGATTCAAACGCTGGATGGCTATTTCCGTTGTATGAGTCTGAGTTCATCAGTAATGCACTATATTAAACTCAGCTTGTGGGGAGGGACTATGGGGAAATTTCACCTCTGGCAGGTGATAAAATTAATTTTTGGTTAAATTTCTCCTAATCACTAATTAAGTCACTATCAGTGATGATATATATGAGGAAATATTTTTATATTTTACTTGCGTAACCATTGATGCTTTTTCTCTTCCTACATTGTTTTATTTCTCACAGAATATTATGGATTGGAGCATTTAAATCTTTGTGGAACAACAAAAAATCTTTTTCAACCAAATGATTCAATCAGTTCACCTCATTCTGTTCCATCGTCTCCTCGGCCTTCTGCTCCGCCACAGCCACCTACACTTCCAAAAACACCGACGACGACGACGACAACAACTACGACTGCAACGCCGACTATACCGAAACGACGTATTAAAAGATTTACGCATACAGTTGGTAAGACGAAGAAGACAACTTCAAAGATTAGTTCAACAGATTAATCGAAGTAAAATAATCAGTAATAATTAGTAATAATATGAATGTGAATAATACTCAGTTTAATCAAAATATATTCCAAAAAAGAAATTTATGACCATTAATTTTTAATATTGTATCATTTGAAATTTCTGCTAATGCATCTAATTCTGATAAACATGGTAGTTTGGTTGGCGTTATTAGAAGACGCAGTTTATGTGAAAATTTTGATGTGATGTATTTGCACAATACACTTCAAACACTCTGATCATACACACACTTACTCGTCAAATCAACTTATATGAAATATGAAAGGCTAATTAAAATAAACAAAATGATAAGAGATTTAAGCATATGAAGGATAATAATTAACACTACTCCTAGTAACAGAATCAAATAAGGATTATCAAGGTAGCTTAAGAATTCTCCTTTTCTACAAGAGTATCCATCAGTATTTTATTTTCATCGTCTATCACATCATTTGTAGAGATAAAGAGAATCCTCTTAAATAAGCACTTTAATCAGCCTCTCTTATATCGTAATGGATAGAAACTGTGAAAAACAAAAATACTGCCTTGTCTAAATAGACCTTCTGTAAATTGACCACTATATTGAATCATCTTCTTTCCAACTAAAAAGTATGTCCAGGTATGTATGTGAGTGGATTTTACAAAAACATTCTTCTCGATAACTTCATCATCAGGCTCTACAGTTATATATATATTATGGTGAATGAATGAATTGGTATTACTAACAACATTAAATGTTGTTGAAATAACATCAAATCAATAATATTGATAGATTTCATCTAAATACCATCAACATAAAATAAGCTGAATGTCAGAAAAATTAGGAAAGATAATATTAAAAACTCATGAGTTTATGGTTTCTACTGAAGGCCAGGGTAGTAGTAGGGGATGGACTTGCTTCTTTTGAACACAGAGTGCTGGTTGTTTAAGGCGAATTGCAATAGCCTCTGCTGTTTGAAGTATGCGGTGCTTCGATGACTTTGGCTATTTATTAGGCACCCGGTAGATTATAGAGAAGGATTCTTCCACGCTGGCTGGCTTTGTGACCGGTTTGCACCAGATGGTCCAGTATCGTGCGTCGGTGGCACAGTGGTTAGGACTCTCGCTGACCATGCACATGGTTCGGGGTTCGATCCCCTGCCGACGCACACCTGATATCTATGGTCGGCCTGCAAAATTTGGGCTACCGATAACCATGCTGAAAATTCCATACTTGTACCAAAAATACAAGCTGTAAATCAAAGATAAAATAGAAAAATAAAAAATATCGAACTGTTAACGATTTTAACTACACCTTTACTTAGCCATAGTGGGATATGTTCTCGAGCACGAAAAATCAAGTTCCTAGAGCAACGGCCAATATAACTCGCTCCACAAGCGCAGGTGAATTGACAGATACAATTTGAAGTGGTTAGCCTGGGTTCTTCATCTTTCAGTCGAGGTAGCACCATCGGTCGTGTAGAGAATAAGACGTGTAGTTCGCCAGCATTAAAAGTTATTTGAACTGATTTTCTTAATTTCCTCATAATTACCTCACTCGGTATATCGCCCATGAATTGTAGTCGTATATAAAGAGGCTTCTTGTTTATTTTTTTGATTACAGCTTGATTCCACACTGTATTTTTGGTACAAGTATGAAATTTTCAGCATGGATATCGGTAGCCCAAATTTCGCAGGCCAACCATAGATATCAGGTGTGCGTCGGCGTGGGCTCGAACCTCGGACCATGTGCATGGTTGGCGAGAGTCCTAACCACTGTGCCACCGACGTACAGATAGTGAGTAGTCCTTTTCCGTTTCCTTTGTCATGTGTTTCTTGATAAATTTGTCGGGATAGCCATTTTCGATCAAAGTATCATATACAATGCTTAATTCATCTTCAATTACTTCTTCTGAGTATATAGCTCTAATTCTGTGGCTGAGGGTCTTCACTAAATTTCTTTTGTACTTGACCGGAACGAAGCTCTACTCTCTGTTCAGTATCCATTCTTTTGAAAATTTTAATGGGCATTTTTAATCAGTTAAAAACATTCTTCTTCTTCAAATGTAAGACTTAAGTGATTTTATACAGAATTAAGTTTATCCAGCAGAGAAGTCTCATGTTTATGATTACTGCATATCACAATAATTTCATCAACACTTTATATACAATAAAAAGGCACCTTAGCGGTCAAATCACAGGATAGACTTTCAGTGTGAGAGATAGACACATCAGCCTTATCACCAAAAGCAGTGTTAATTGTTATCTTTCTCATTCTTATCATTTCGTTTAATTTAAGTGCTCTATCATTTTCCATCTGTAAATTGATTTGACAATTAAATATACGTGTGACTAGATTGCTCGAAATTGACTGCTCAAATACTACACCACAACTTTCAGATAAACGCTATCTTCTAGTAACACTATCCAAGTTTACTAGAAGAGAATTATTATTTTAAATCATTGTATTGTAATCACTCAGACTGTGTGTGGTGACTGCTGCTCATAAGATTCATCAGTAGTATACAAACAGGCGTTTATCGGCATAAAAACATCAAATAGCAGGGAGATGTATTTGATTACAGAGAAGACAAATGTTACAGCGTTGTGGAGATACATAGGAGATGTGGAAGGAACACAAAGGAATACAATGTGAAGTCCAGAAGTACCACAACACGAAGATCTGTGCACATTGTGGGTTGAAGATAGGGTATACGTAATTCCGTTATATAGAGACACCAATTTCTTGGACGAACATGCTTTACCAAGTCTTCGTCTTTTAACGTTTCAAGACTGACTTGGTCAGGTAGATAAAATTTAGTTCTCTGAACAAAGACATCATGGAATATTTTAGGTAAGTTCTATACAATGATTTTATTTATCCAGATTATAAAATGCTTACACACATATCTATAGTGTTAATGCTAGATGATAATAAAGGTGAGAAGGATAAACAGAACATGAATGTTACGTAATCACCTCTATCAACTTTCTAGTAATTATTTCTCATTTGTATCGGATAAATGCTATGGTAAGCTGACTGATTGTGTTCTCGGTAGAGTTAAAGCTATTAATAGGAGAAAGTTTAATTGAAATATAGGTGCTTAGCCACCACAGTAACAGGCTATGATATAATTGTATACTGCACTAATTTCCATTCAGTCAATAGTTTATATAACTTTTAAGTACTCATAACGAAACACAAATGAAAAGACTGAATTAAATTCGCAGTCTGAGGTGATACATAGACCTAATTTTCTGCATGTCCTTTTTATATCTATTTGTATTTCTCCCACCTCACTTGTGACCTTGCAATTTTATTGGTTATTGACCGTTTTAATTTATCAATGTAATTAGTGTCTCTCATGGTCACTTGAGGCATATATATACGCAAGCACTGTCAATCATTTTCGCTGTTGATACGAGACAGTAAAAGCTCTCCACGTCAACAGTCAGTCTTCTCTTTTTGCATCGCGTTTTTGGTGGTATCGTATTGTTGTTGCTAATAATGGTTAGAACAATATGTTAGAGAATCGATTAGATAGGAAATTCGTTGGCGCAACTGCAAATGTATTAACGATCATATCACCAGTTTCCTTTGAAAACAGAAATCATTCAGATCACAATGCACGTGATCTGCTTGGTGTCATAAATATTTATCAAGAAAGCAAAAATAAATGCACATTACTGTATACTAGTGATTAACTGATTTAATTGATTGGATACCACTAACACCCACCACCAGTAATGCTTGCTAGCCTGATGGTGAGTTTGGGACCAAGCTCATTAGTGTTGCACCTGGTTTGGCTCAGCCGACAAAATTGAATGCATCCGCTCAGGTGGCTAACCAGAATTCAGGTGGTTTGAACTGATTCGAGACCAAGTACACCACTGATGAGCTGGCCTCCAAACGAGCGAAGCAACCATCTGGTGTTAAGATCACTTTGATCTACCCAACTAGCAGCTGTTACTGGTTAATGTGAGTGGTACCTATCTACTCATCTTACTCAGTCAGTAGCATATAGTTTTATGCAAGGACTGAATTACTTGAGAGTACCCACAGAACCGCAATATATTAAATGAAATATTATATCAGGTCATTTTTAGGTTAGTTTACATTTCCAGTTGATTGATTATGTTGGGGAGAGGTGCTCGGTCTCGGAAATGCATATTAACCTAAAGACAATAACCATCGCTGCAAATGAGATGGTTGTCGTGGTCATAGTACGTAGCGCCTCGGCATTTGAAATGCAGTGTTTGAGTCTCATTGGAAAAACCAACGCTCAGAGTGGAAACACAGATACATCCGGGTGACGCGTGTCAAATGGGAAGAATGGTATATCCCAGATTTCATTGATGGTCGCTATCATCCAAAATGTTTTCTTCAACTAATCTATCCAATATAACTGCACTACGAAGTCTAGAACTATGCACGCGTGTTAAGCAACGCAGGTGGAAGTGAAAAATAGCGTCAAGGTCGCCTTGTTCACAGAAAACTTAAAATACTTTAAACATCTAAAGATGAGCTATGTTATAACTGCTGTAAAAGGAATAAACTCCGTCGCCGATTTGTTATGTGTGCGCTTGTTAATTGCTATAACGGTAATGAACTCGACTGGTACGCTAATATGCCTATTTGTCCGTTGTACCTTCCGACTCACTGAGGCACGCAAATATCTGAAGACAAAGGCTACCCTGGGACTGTAAGATATGGTATTGTAAAGACAGAAGACAAGGGCCGCAACAGATCGTTTTATTACGGAAATCAACACGTATTTATATATATTTCACATACATTATTATAGCTTATTCAAGCAGACAAAAGCAGGCTTCTGATTGGTTGTTTCGGGTAACCATCGAAAAGTAGAGCCATCTATCTGCGAATCATATTTGCCCACGTTAAGTTTGCTGTGATTGGTTGTTGAATCAGCCTTGCTCATATTTTCTCACGGCCAATATTAGTGACCTAGACACTGACGTAGATTAATGTCTACCAATTGGCTAGCAGCCTGCTCTCACCACAGTATTGTATATTTATTAGGAAACAAAACATCATGTTTGTACATATAAATATAAAGCCAGCTCACAGCAGTGAAAATGGATTGTTCTTATTGGCTAGCGATAGCTATTCTCATTGGTTGGCGATCCGACATGGATTAAGGCTAGACAAAAGATGATGATCCGATTACACACTAAATCACAATATGCGTGAGAAATGATACATTCACATAGTAACTCCGTCACAAGATTCGTGAGACAGGATGATATGCTATTTTATACTGCGTCTTATCAAGCTAGAAGTTTGTTAATTTGAGATTTATTTAATTCGTTTCAATCTATTTACTTTAGTTCTAGTTAAATTTCATATCAAGATGACACAATAAAAGCTTCGTCATGGTAACATCCAACACACAAATGACGACAACATCAAAAAGTTAAAAGTGAAATGACAATTCAGTGAAGAAAGTGTTCTTTATCGAAGAAATTAATATTCAGATGCTGTACAATCATATTTCTACTTTTCAAACAATCTATATTGGTATTTTATGGAATAATTGAGTTGTGTATTTGTGAAATAACCTGCAAGTGGTTTATACAGATAAAAGTTACGTAATAGTCAACTACATAGTGGAAGTAAGGACTTTAAATTCGAAAATTGTTATTCGACGAGAAGTAGGGTAGTTGACTGTCGATTTGATAAGTATGAAGAGGGTGAGTTAAAAACACTTGGCAAGTTGCACAAAAAAGACGTGTACGAGTGATTACAGTAAATTACTTACTAAAAATAGAAGCGAACTAGTAGGAAAGAGATTAAGACCATGGTATATATATATATATACCACGAGCTCTTCAAAATTTGATTTTGTCAACAATACGTCTTTCCACCTTTTCACTTGTGCTTCTTAATACAACGTTGTTCGTCTTTGGCTGTGTACAGCGTTTAGCACATTGTAGAACGTGGGTATACTATAGTTTTATAGTATAACACGAATCATATTTAGTAAATCGTGAGTGTCTCCGCCATACACAAATGTCGAAACCTGAGAACCAATGCACCATTCGGTCTCACCTTGTAGATGAGACAACTGTGGTGGAGTTACACGGCCTGAATTCATCAGGTGCTCTACAATCGAGCTAGTAACTGATTTGTATTGTCCTCTTAATAGCCAAGACGGAGAAGGATCACGGAAGCATTTGGAAAGTGTGTCGTTTGTGCAGGTAATATAACTAGCTCCACAGGAGCAAGTGAATTTATAAACAGACTGAAGTGGCTGAAAGCAGAAGTTTGTCCTTCACATATTTATTGATCATTTTCTGACTGAAGAAACTGCGAGGTAGCTCAGCTGAAAAAAAGCTTTCATCAGTGATCTGAATTAGCGGTTCTTAAGAGTTTTAATACATTTGTATAGCTTCTGAAGATGATTTTGTATATAGAGAATATCTTCTTCGATGAATTGCCTTTTATATTCTAGATGACTGAGAAAGTTAAAACATTATTATTTCATGAATAAGCAACTACACAGCATAAAAATAACGTCATCATCTGCACTAATTACAATGTACATGTGAATGAAGCTTAGTAACATGCTGGATATCATAATTCGTTGGTCACCTCTGTTTAGAAGGGATAATTGTTCATGAGGAGGAATATGATGAGATAACATAAAATTGTACACAAATATGGTTTTTGACTGTATATTCTTTTAACTACTATTCACACTTTTTTACTCGAACACCGAAGAGGTTCATGTTTAGAAATAAGCTTCGCCAATTTGGGTTTCACAATTCCTAAGTGATACTGATAGCCTTGGTATTCAGTTATATATTATCTACTTCCAAAGCCTTTAGAAACAAATATACCCAGAATATATGGGTATGCCTGAAATTCACAAGCTCAACTTGCCAATGAGACCAATATTAGACATGCTTAACTCACCATATCATGAAGTAGCAAGATGGCTGGCAGACCTACTTAAGCGATTGCAGCTAAAAGTGGCTAAGTACAGGTTAAATGATACCGAATTTATAGGCAAGGTAACAGATAAGAAGATCAGTGATGAGACGATGATTTCTATGGACATCACCTCCCTGTTCACTAATGCCCCCTTATAAGAGATCATTGACTTCATCTGTGAATCTTTTATAGAAAATGGTGTGGGCGTAGGTATACCACCTCAAACACTACGGGAACTGCAACTTCGTTTTACGATGAATGTGCAGTTTCAGTTTAACAACGAATTTTACCGTCAAGAAAAGGCGTAACAATAGGTTTCCCTCTAGGTCCTCTCTTAGCCGATATGTTTATGGAAAAAAACTGGAGAATCGTCCACTCAGGAACGCAATCAAAGAACTCTCGTTCTACTGTAGATACTTTTATCTTGCATAGGGATAAAATTGATACCGAGCTACTTCTCAAAACGTTCAATATGGCTCACCCACAAATTAAGTTCATATGCGAAGCAGAGAACGACAATACTTTATCATTTCTTGATGTCCTGCTAACAAAAAGGTAAGATAGCAGTATTAAGTGGGGGTCTTTTCTTGAGGAAGTCATGGGTTTGCCAATACACCCATTTTTAAGTCGTTTATTCCTCTTGCATATAAACGGAATGTCATTAGTACTCAGATTTTTCGCACTAGAAAAATCTGCACGACCGATACTCTTGATAATGAAATAAGAAAAACAAAAAACTCATTATATGAGAATGGATATCCAGAAAATTTGTTAGTCTCCACGATGAGAACAGACAAAGAGAAATCCCTGCAAACTTTGCAGAAGAAACGTATATATACATGTTCCACTTGGAACACATTGAAATGAATGAAAAAACCCTTTTGAAGAAAAAAAAGAGAAACTTAAATTGGTCTTAAACGGTCTTTTCTATTTGGTCTGCAAAGCATACGAACAGTACACAATGAAACCACGTGTTATCATTATCGTCATCATTAACATTATACAAAGATTTTCAATAGGGTTGCAGATTCCCCGAGTTTTTTCATTGAAAATTTAACAACTGATGCATAGAAGATAGAGAGAGGAAGAGGTTTTCTGTACTATTTGTTTTCGCTTTCAAATTGCTTTATCACCAGCATTTGCCATTGTCTCCTGATCTTCTAACGATTTACATTCCAATTTAGACCATGATATTGGTTCAGCTTTCTTTAATATAATTTCAGCTTTTACTGGCATTAGCTTGACAGTTGACTTTTGTGGATCTATAACCTGAAGTTTAATGATAAAAACATGAGAGAAATGGATGAGGGTGATAAAAACACAACTAAATACGACTGTATTTAATGAGTAGTCACCAAATACTACTTGTAACAAATACAGTTTTAACGGATTATAATAATATATAATGGGTGATGACTGAAGGTCGAGTGACGACAGGATTCGAATTAGCTAAGAAAAAACTGCTAGTTCGAAGCTCAACCAGATTTTTTTTCCTTCACGTTCCCCAGTGGAACATAGGGCGCCAAGCTAGTGGCTTGGAGTTTTTGTAGCAGTGTTTATTTTACAGGATGGGGTTGCGTAACACATGTCCTAACCATCTCAGTTGGTGTTACTTCACAGTTCCGTTGATTGATTTCCCCTCCTTACCTAGCACTGGGCCGATGTCTAACCTCAATATTACTCACCTTATTATACCACCACTTAAAACGGGAGATAGAACGCAGACATCTATGGTCAAGGACAACTAGCCGGCCTTTTCATGTCTTCCACTTTCAATGGCCATGTCTCAAAGTCATAAAGGAAGACAGAGCGGACTGATGAGCAGTACACATGCCCTTTGGTCGGCAGCCGGATATCACGTCTACTGAGCCAGAGATGTCATAAGTTGGCCTGAAGTTTCAGTAGACGTGTTGTGACTTTTATGGAGCGGCGTAGCTACCCTTCACACTTTCCCAGACTTACTATTTACGTGTTAGTAAACACTAGGCAAATAGGATTGGGAATCGAACTTGGACATTCTACGTGAATGGGCAGCATTCCCCCTATAGAACCAATAACGCATAAGTGACTACTGAATGAAGTGATATGTTTCCTCTCTGAACAAGCAATCAGTATAGACAGTGGGTTATAATTGTCTCCTGGGAATGATTAAGTTCTCTCAGCATTTTCTTAGATTATGGTGAGGAGAACAGAGAAAAAAGAGACAGGAAAACTTACACCGAATAAATTAAAATCTCTTGTGAATAACTGATAATCCAAACCGAATTTTAATGAAACACATAGGAATACTTGATTCGCCTTGATTGATACAGTTTCAGGCCATATATTCTTGGCATAAATATTTAGGGTGATTAAACCACCTGACTGATACCAATCAAAACGACAATTCACGCTCGACTGGACTGTTAGCGCTAAATTAGTCGATTTAGCATCCTACAAAAGAAAGAAAGGAAAATATGGATATACACTGATTTCAATTTAGATAACGAAATAACTGACATTATAATTGAATTTTAGATTTTCTCGTCGATTGATTGGATCGAAGTGCTTGGTCTCAGGTTGACATGTCGGCTTCTTGTGCAGATGCTTCGACGATTTCTGGGCATTTAATTAGTATTGAATTGGTTTATGGTGACTAGCAGTGGAATCCAGGGTGTGCACTTCGTCCTATTTGGGACTCGTCAGATGGATGTACCTGCATTTCTCAGTGTGTGATGATGTTCCCACCGAGGCTCGAACCCAGTGCCCGTAGTTTCAAACGCCAACGCGTTATCCACTAGACCACTTGGGCCACGAGAGCCACTGCTAGTCACCATCCACCATGCAATAATAACTGACATTAGTTAAAGAAACACTGAAAAACCACCGGAGAGTAGTGTACTGAACATAGTCGTTTCATCTTAGTTTGAGACCCTTTATTAGAACCGCATTCACGCGGCATACGGGTGTTCCTAACAAAAATGAGAAGGTGAACGCGAAACTCTAGCACTTACAACCGAACTAATGGACATGCAAATCTACCTAAGGGAGCTGGAAAACACTGATTCCAAATCTATGGTGCACGCGGGCATCAGAATCCGAAAGGAATGAGTAGCATATGAATTTGCTTTGGTCACTAACAACTATGGGAACGCTGCTCCGCTGACTTGTGGATCAGACTTCAAATCAGAGGCTCTGGTGCTGACTTCTTAAGACAGCCATGAAGTTTGCATTTTAATGATAAAAATAAATTGGCACAGGTTGGGATTCATAGGCCATTGAATCAGATCTCAGTGTCTTAATAATCTACGAGCTCGCTCTGTAACCGGAAGGTCCTGGGTTCGAACACTAGTGGGTGAGTACTGTTGAAGGGTCCCAATCTAGGATTAAACAACTGCCCAGTACTCCCAGCTGGTTTTCCAATGGTTCTCTAACCAATGTCAGCTCATGATGAAATCCCGTAACAAATCGAATCCCAACAAACCAATTCTTGAGTAATAAATAACTTTAGCAGCGGTGCACACTCATGACCCAACCGTTAAGGATCGAACTCAAGACCTTCAGGTTACGATGTCAGCCCTATGACCAGTCAGCCAGTGGGACGAAATCCAATGTCTGGTTCAAGAATTCCAGTTAACTTCTGCCAATTAGCGATATACAGATAAATAGAGTAAATGAGTAATATGGTCACTTTGAAACATGCAAGATCAGTTACAGACTTAGTGTGACCACCAGGAGGTTATCCACTCACGATACTGAAGTGTCAAAGCTGAATGAAACACCTAACTGTATTCTTCAGTCAATCATTAGCCTACTATCAAAATGAGAACAGAGTAATACAATAAACTTGCATTACTGAAGCTTTCTTTTGCAGACTATTTTTCATCACAATATGTTATTAATTGAATAAACACCTTAAAGTGGTTTTCTTCAACAAAAATCGTTTATAATGTTATACTACAATGATTAAAAGTGGAAAGAGAATTCGGGTTACGGTAGCATTTAAGTCATCGGTGTACGAAATGCTATATAAAAATAAACAGGCAATCAACACGTCAAGTCAACAACTTCTGTGGTACATGTATATGATTTATGCTGTTGTATGATCCTTTTTGTTTTATTAGATCAGTTAGCAGAAGTTAATCAAGTCCTGTGTACTGCCGCATTTTATATACCCTGTTATCAATACCCACTTCTTCATCTTTCAAGATGCGTAAGCGTGGAACAGAAATATATGTGGGACGTATGCTTGTCCTGCTTTACCCAAACTAACAAAAAAACCTACAAGCATACGCACATACCTCTACAGGCGTACACCTACAGAAATTCCTTATACTAATGACTGAGTGTTGTGTGTGTCATAACTATGCGTAACGTGCTTGTCCTTGTGATCGTCTTTTGGCATCGTGCGTTCCACCTAGGTAACAATGATATATATGGTGGAGGATTTGAGTCAAGTAGCAGTGTGTCAACAATGCAGTCCGATTTTAACTGGATGTATTTTTGTTGCAGAGTATAAATTGTTCTTACAATCACATACACCATGTGACATTTTTCTAGGCCTGTGAGGGATACAATAAGGATGTCGTTTGTATACAACTTAAGTATCTTAAAATGGAAATCGAATTAAAAATGACTTTGGAACCTTCAATGAACGAAATATTCCCATATTGAGTCATAAGAAAAAGGTACAAACAGCGAAGAAAATTTTCTTTTCGACGATTCATTTTCATGATCTGTACAATCGTAATTATAATTAGCACAGAAATCTTTAGACCTTGTTCCTGAAAATTGTACTACATAATGTAAGGTGTAAGAAGGGATGACTAATTGTAAGTTAGAAAGGAGACAGAAGTTGGCATGTCTTAACAAGTGTGGGATAATGACTAATCAATAAGCTCGTGTAGAATGGACAGGAACTAGTGGAAAGGCTATAAAGTGTTTTTGTATAAAATCTGTATGAAAAAGCAATGTTATTAATAAACAGTAATAGAATGGTAATAAAGATGTGGATGATGGGAATAATAATGATAATAAAAGTATTAAGAACACGGAACTCCATGACTGGTGAACGATTTTAGGAGATAATAGGTACCTACCGAGGAAAAGTTCAAAAAAGACTAGGTGAAAGAATCGAATTTTGGGTTTTTATAGGCATTTTGAGTAATTTCGGTGTAGGTTTCTTCACAAATCAACATCATTTAGAGAATCATTGACAACCACCAGGGAGCATCAGATAGCTGTTTTTTCCCAGTCTGGGAGTATTCTGTAAGTGCGCACCCAAAACCCTACTTGCTCACAAGTGGCTACTAGATAGACATCCTGTAATTCTAATGAAAAGTCATGACAGATGTGCTCCATAGACTCGAGTGTGAGGATGAATAATAAATAAAGACATAGGCTGCCGGCTGAATTCCATTCCAGTTGCTAAATAGTCAGCAAGTTCACCTAGTAACCTGGTATCTCTAAGTTTAATTCCTGGCGAGGTCATGAGTGACACCTGCTGCTAGTTCTCGGCTTTCCTGTTCATGATGGAACTGATATTAAAACTTTGATTATTAGTGATGAATGAAAATGCATTAAACTCATTAGAAATACTAGATATCTCACAAAGTTGTTTACACAAAAATAAATAGATAAATAAATTCTCTCCAAAACAAAAATAAGAACTCACTTCAATAGTCCAATTATGACGTCCTGTTGTACAACCTATTTGTTTGACAAATGTTTCAAATTCACTAGTTTTTTGATTACAACACGTCCAATATTTCATACTGTTGCAGAAAAGCAGAAAAACAACGTAGTTCATCATTGATATGGGCGAACAGCTTCTAATCAATCAGTTACCTAATGATGTTTGAACAGCCAACTAGTATTATCATCATCACCATTCAAGGTATTGTTCAAAGAAACGAGATGAAAGCTTCACAAGTATATAGTCCAGCTGAGAAAACACAACAACATGTCAACCATTCAGGCATCGACTGAAGCATCCGAAATGGGAGCCAACGTGTAAATAGAGGTCGAGCATTTGTTTCTTTGTCCCTTCGTATTCCAAATGGAACACAGGGCTTCAACCTTTACAGTTTCAGTGGCAATAGTGTTGGAAGCCCCAAGTTTGCTCTTCCCTCCTCTCCAACCTTACTACCCCCGCTAGACAAGATTTGATGATACGTCGGCTGGGAACTGAACCCGACCCATGTGAACGGTTAGGAAGCATTCTACCACTAAACCATCGATGCAAAATGATAATATACCTGCTGACTGAGTAACTGTAACTAGTTTCCAAGAGAACCAAATATGACTATCCCAGCCTTCAACAATAACAGAACTGCATATACTTCCTTACAGCTCGACGACCCATAGACAGCTGTTTCTTCCTAGTATGGGAATCTCCGGAAGTGCATAAACCTGACCCCACCAGTTGAGGCTGAACCAAAAACCCACGAATTACTGTGCGAATCCATTGTCTATTCAGCCTGCTGCGGTAAGCATCTCAGTCCGATAAAATCAATGTACTAAAGAGTGACTGCAAATTGTAATTTAAACGAATAAGTTTTCACTTCCAAAAAAGTTAAGGTGAGCCTCAGTTCATTGATCGATTATTCAGTCACGGAGTGTACGAAATCAAGTTATTCTATTCTAACACTTTATTGATATATTCAACATAGAAAAACACTCCAAATCGACAGCTAAAGGACAAATCGACCGAGCAAAGTAATCTTTACTTTTCAATTAGATCCTCATCTATGACTCTACTCTCATAGATAGATACAACATTTCTAATACAATACAAAACATCTTATCAGTGTAGTGAAGATAAATCTATTAACAATAACTAGTCAATATCAACATGTCAGGGAATGATAATTAACCAAGAAAATCAAAACAAACACTCAAAGGGTAGAGATGATCACAACAAGTGGATTGCATAATTTCGGAAAAAAATATAGAGTGATCAGGGAATAAGTGAGCGTTCAAGTTGGTTACACAATAAGCAGTTGGAGATGAAGTAGACAGAAAAATAAAATAATTCGAACAATGCAACTTGTAAATGGCTTAGGCGGAGGGTGAAATTCTCAAGTTTCTACCTTCATGTAACGATGGACACAAGGTGAGGAGAATGGCTGCATGAATCTCTTTTGAACACATTGGTCGGAATGTAAAAAATACCTTTAACTGCTTTGATAACATCAACTTTATACTCACTGTCTACCGAGGTATATTAAAACAGAGCTACGAAAAGATCTTGTTTGTACCCCATGCTTAACCATACGACGATGAACCTGCCTAATTCTACGCCCAATGTGACTAGTTCCCCCCACCAGCAGTCAAACTGCTAGATACACATAAAGCAGGTGATATTAGGTCCTTTTTCTTTATTTCTCGAACGTCAAATTTGATTTTTTTTAGGAGATCGTGTACCTCTGCTGGATTGAATGGTCTTTCAATTGCATTCTTTAGGCGATGTGTTACTATTTCACTGATGTTATCACCAGGAAACTCCAGTTTTATTTATGAATAAGGACTTTGCTGGATCTGTTGCATGCTGGCTTACCCTGGTGTTAAATCCATATCTTCCTCAATGAACTCATCTGGATGACCATTTTTACCAAGTAATTCTCTGATAATCCTAGGCTCCTCATTAAAAGAGTTGTTTGACCAGGTTACTTTACCAAATTCCATTTATATTCCAAAGGTGAAGAACTCGAAGGGAGACATATGACAAGGTACAGCCTTAATGATCTAGTGCAAGATAACAGTGTGTTTGAAAGACAAACAGTTCCTCTAGATGATTACCTTTTGGTCCACCAGCATCCCTCCGACTGAGATAATATTCTTTATCTGCGACCACATCGCAACCAACCACATAGGAGTTCCTCTTCCCGTCAACTACTTCTCGGACTCACGTGTAACATTCATTTCAAATTCAATGAACGATTCTACATACAGAATGATGGTGTGACTATGCGGTTTTCTGCTGGTCCACTCTTTGTTGACTGCTTCATGGACAGCCTTGAAAACAACATCCTTGATCTTTTGATCAGTCAACTGTACCTCTACAAGAGATACGTAGATGATGATACTTTTATTTAAAAGAAAAATTCTATCTAGACTATCTCAAAACTTTCAACGCGGCAGACATATCAGTAAAATTTACCTTAGAAAGTGAATCAACCATGGCGTTTTCATTCCTGGATGTACTACTTACTAGAAGACAAGACTACTCAATCCAAAGATCAATATAGCGCAAACCAGCATGGACTGGCCAGTTTATTCAGAGCTTCGTCCCACTGATCCGAAAGCGAAACTTATTACTTATATTATGCTCGGGAGTTCGAAAAATCTGTTCCGAAGATACGATAAGGAATGAATTAAAATCACAACGCGAAACCCTACTGAAGAACAGGTATCCGCTCAGAGTTACCCACAAAAACATCGGTGAAAAATCCCCATCGCCGAAAACTGCAATCGCTCCTAAGGAAACTCTATTCGTGAGCCTAGAATTCAAAGGTAACATTGAAGCAGAAATTCTTAAAAACCGCCTTTCTAAATGTCTGTAGGAGACATTTCAGTCAGCCACATAACGCATCACATTCTCAAGCAGACAGTTAATCCAACCATCCGTTAAGGATAAGATACCGCTTTTCGCCACCTCAATGTGTATTTATCTGTTTACTTGTTTGTGTAGAGCAAAGCACATCGGCCGTATACAACGGCAAGTTCGTAAACGTATTGTAGAACACTGTCCAACCTGGCTAACCAAAGGAGGAAAGAAGAACACTAGTAGCTTCATCCTCAAACACCCCCGAATAAATACTACACAGAGTTCCTCAATATCGCACGAAGGGTCTCCGAATGCGCCATCTGTATATAGCTGGATCATTGGCTATTCGGGATCTGAAACCAGACCTCTGCGTTCAAAAGCATTACATACATTCACTCGTCCTACCGTAGCCAGGGTAACGTTCTTACAATAATTTTGCTTCATTTCATTACGTAAGCTTACTATTATTATTCTCATAACCCTTATTTTATCACTTTATTGTTGTTTGTTAATAACGTTGCATTTTTATGCAGGTTTAATAAAAAAATGTTGTCGTCTTCCTACTAGTTTTTGTCCACTTCACAAAACTATATTGGTTAGTCATTTCCCGACCGAAAGCTGCTACCTTGACGTGGTGGTCGGGCTTGAACACCGCAATGATCTATTCAAGCTATACTGGCTGAGACTTATGTCTCTTGAGGTACTACCATGCCAGGCAGGTTGTTTGGATAGCGGTTAAACAAAAAGCAGCTACCCAATCCAACATCATGTCCAATACAAAATCACAAAATTTCATGCCGGATCGGCCGTGGCCCGGATTAACAACGACCGCGCTTCCTGCTGCCGTGTCACAGGGCAGGAGTGATAAATCTGCTACTGAGACACACCAAACAAAAAAGAACGAACAAAAACAGGCCGCGTGTGACCGGCCTCAAGCAGTTGTCCCCTGGGCTCTGCGGTCACGCAACCAACTTCCACGGTGTGGGCAGCCGGGAAGTAACAATCGCCCTCACAATCCGAAATGCACACGAAACCTCTCTATTACTCACTCATCTTTGTCTTCATCTTCATCTCTATCATCTTGCCTTCCTTCCACTGATGCAACTCCTCGACTTGATAGCTCTCCACTTCCTCTCCACTCTGCGTCCACTAAAAACGATGGAAGCCAAAAAACCACCACCGACAGCCTCTTAAAGCCGCGCCACCAATTTCATATAGGAGCTCTTAATGTTAGGACACTTTGCCAAATAGGACAACAAGCATCACTAGCCAAGACCCTGGCATCACGAGCCATTGATGTATGCTGTGTTTCAGAAACACGCATACAAGACCCAAGTGTGGTTATTCACCTAACCCCACCTGGCCAACAGGTTGAATCTGCAAAATTCACCTTGAGGGTGTCAGGAGATGCCACAGCTAGTTCACGAGGATTAGCTGGCGTAGGGATAGCTTTGAGTACTAGGGCAGAAAAGACATTGCTTGACTGGATCCCGGTAGATAGCCGAATGTGTGCTGTCCGCCTGAACGGATCAGTAAGAAGGAGGAAGGACTGCACTACTCGCCGATGCCTTTTCGTAATCTCCGCCTACGCCCCCACTGACTGCAGTTCAGATGAAACGAAGGATGAGTTCTACCAAAAGCTGTCTAGTTTGGTGCGAAAGGCTAAACGCTCAGACATAGTCGTTCTAGCTGGTGACTTTAACGCTCAAGTAGGGAAATTGTGTCAATCTGAGAAGGATGTCGGTGGCACCTATGGAGCTCCGTGCCAGCGAACCGACAACGGTGACCGTCTCCTACAGTTCTGCTCTGATAATCATTTGTTTCTTGTAAGCACTAACTTTAAACACAAGGAGAGACACTGTTTGACTTGGAGACCCCCTTCATCAAACCAACGCTGGACACAAATAGACCACATAGCAATAAGCTATCGTTGGCGTGGGTCGGTAGGAGATTGTCGCTCCTTCTGGAACACGTGCGTAGATACCGACCATGCACTGGTCCGCGCTCGGGTGTGCTTACGACTGAACGGACGTAGGAAACAGCTGGCGGTAAAACCATCACGTCCCCAGCTCGATCAGGAAACTAAATCCGTATTTGAGGAAGAACTAGCTAAACACATATCTGTGTTCGACAGCTGTGCTCACCCTGAAGAAGCTTGGAAAAATATCCAGGCAGCCATAGATACAGCTGTAAAAGCTGTGAATAAGGTAAACCCAAAGGTGAGTAAAAACCACTGGATCTCCACCGCCTCATCCGAACTGATAGATGCTAGAAGACTTATTCCGGCGAGCTCCGAATTCAATGAGGAGCGAAAGCTGCACAAGAGGAAACTTACGAAAAGTCTCCGCAAGGACCGTGAACAGTGGTGGGCGACAAAAGCCAAAGAGATGGAGAAAGCTTCGAGGATAGGCAACACCAGGCAACTCTTTGGACTCATCAGGGAAACGGGTGGGAGAAGACAAATCATTAGTGAGACAATCTCGGAAAAAAATGGCACTATAATTAGCTCCCAGGATAGACGACTGGATCGTTGGAAAGAGCATTATGAGGAGCAGTTTAATTTGCCCACAGCCACGCTCAACCTTCCGAGCATCCAACACCTCCCTGAATGGGATATAGACACAGGTCCTCCGTCACTAACTGAGGTTACTAAAGCTGTCACCAATCTGAAACTAGGCAAAGCAGCGGGACCTGATGGAATGACTCCAGAGGTATTTAAGTACGGTGGAGACAGCTTACTGTCCGGATTAACTGAGGTACTAGGCAGCGTCTGGGAATCAGAAGAAGTCCCATCGGGTTGGTGTAAGTCACTGATTATCCCCATATACAAGAAGGGAGACAAGTCTTCCTGTGATAATCACAGAGGGATTAGCTTGACTAATATAGTATCTAAAGTCTTAGGCTCAATAATCATGCGTAGACTGAGTGGTGCTCGGGAAGCACAAACACGAGAGAGCCAGGCAGGCTTTAGACCAGGAAGAGGGTGTATTGATCATATCTTCACCCTCCGACAGATTCTAGAACATAGGCATTCCTACCGGCGTCCAACAGTCATTATATTTCTTGACCTAAAGGCAGCATTCGACTCTGTCGATCGGGAAGTTCTCTGGAGATGCTTGGCTGTAAAGGGAATTCCAAGAAAATATATTGCACTGATTAAGGCACTCTACTCGTACTCATACAGCCAGGTGAGGGCTTACGGCGAGCTGTCATCTGAACTGATGACGACCAGTGGTGTCCGTCAAGGATGCCCATTATCTCCTTTTCTATTCAACTTCATCATAGATGTGTTAATGGACTTAACCCTAGGTGACTTCAGCGACTCAGGGATTGACTTGCTACCGGGAATAATCTCGTTGACTTGGAATATGCAGACGATATAGTCCTTCTAGGCGAAGACGCTGACGAAATGCAGAGTCTTCTAAACACCTTGAGCAGCAATCTACGAATGTTTGGCATGCGATTCGCTCCCGCCAAATGCAAGATGATGTTACAGGACTGGACTACATCGACGCCTAGTTTAAAAATAGGAAGTGAAGTGGTAGAGCACGTTGACCGCTTCACTTATTTGGGAAGTACCATCAGCCCCAACGGGCTGATCTCTGACGAAATCTCAGCACGAATACAAGGGGCTCGTTTCGCATTTGTTAGTTTACGCCGACTCTGGCGTAGACGAGATGTTCGACTATCGACCAAAGGGCGGGTGTACTGCTCATCAGTCCGCTCCGTCCTCCTTTATGGTTGTGAGACCTGGCCACTGAGAGTGGAAGACATGAAAAGACTAGCTGTCTTTGATCATAGGTGCCTGCGTTCTATTTCCCGTGTAAAGTGGCATAATAAGGTGAGCAACATTGAGGTTAGGCGTAGAGTTCTAGGTAAACAGGGGAAATCAATCGACGAAGTCGTGAAGCTACAAAGACTGAGATGGTTAGGACATGTGTTACGTATGCCAAGCCATCGCCTCCCTCGACGAGCTATGTTAGCGGATATAGGGTCAGGCTGGAAAAAAGCTAGCGGCGGTCAAACAAAAACTTGGCATCAGTCAATGAAATCCACAACAGTTGGTCTAAGCCACGTAGGAAGGTGTAGACTTCCAGGCTGGGGTCCTCGGGACGGTAAAAATCTATGGTTGGAAACAATTGGTGACATGGCTCAAAATCGTTCTCAGTGGCGCAGATGCATCCACTCCTTGTGACTTATGATCTTCAATGAAACTGTTTTGTATTTCTTTATTACTCCTTTGTCTCACACCTCTGCTCACTGTTTCTATTATGCTTTTCTTGTACTTTCTTCTCTTGCTTCGCGTGCTACACGGAATGTGGCGACTTGAACTTCCGCACATTTGTGCAAAGTTCTATGTCGAAAACAGACAGACAGACAGGTTAGTCATTTGTCACACTTATCACGTCATCCCAATTCCTGCCCCATCTTTTTAATTTCAAATCAGTTATCCATTTCTTGATTACAGCTTACATTTTGTTATACATTTTCTGGAACAAATTTACCAGTATCTGATTGGTCTTATGAATTCTTTGTTTAAATATGCATACGACTGTACATCTCTTGAAAATGAATCTTCAAAAAGAAAGTTCGCTCTGCTTTTCACATCTTATTCTTACGACTCAATATGAGAATATGCCAATCATCAGAAGAAAAAAACTCAAAAAATGAGTGTATTCACCTGTCATTGTAGGTTTCCTAAACACACCCCTTCTTAATGTACCATCCTCTTTCCTGGTCAGAAAGACGTCTAGAAATGAGGTATTTTCTTTTCTTCCTTCCTCTACGGTGAAGTTTATTGCTGAATGCGAATCATTGGACTTGATAATCCGTAAATTTTAGACGTGGCTGAATTACCATACCATCCGATCGCCAAATGGTTGTCCGAAATTCTATAGCCTATCAGACAACAACTATATAAGTAATTTCTCCGAGATACTTTTGAATGTATTGAATGCATAAAATATTTGAGTGTAAATGGCAGATGAATGTTATCACTGGACGCAGAATCTCTATTTACGAATGTGCCACTCACAGAAACAATTTGGTTCCTTTGCAAATATATGGACGACAGGAATCTAAGCGTCGGAATACCAACCACATATCTGAAAGGGTGGTTACGAAGGTGCACACTTAACGTACAATTTACATTCAAAGGCGTTATCTACAGACCGAAAGACGGGATTCCCATGGGCTCTCCCTTTGGCCTACTTTTGGCAGACTGCTTCATGGCCAGTTTGGAAAATGGCATCCTAAAATCAACGATGGACAAATTGCAGCTGAACAAAAGGTACATAGATGACACTTTACAGTTTTTCAGGATGATTCTGATTTAAGTTATATTTTACAGGAGTTTAACAACTGTCATCCTTCAATTAAATTTACAATGGAAGTTGAAAATGAATCAAAGATTCCATTCCTGGATATCGAATTGACAAGAGATGACGGAACTCTGCAAAGATCTTTTCACATAAATCCATCATGGAATGGCCAACTGACAAACTTCTACAGTTGGATACCTATCGGTCGAAAGAGATCTCTCATCACTCACTGGCCTACCATACTAAAAGAATGTGCAGTGATGACTGCTTAGAAGAGGAGTTTCTATTTCTTAAAAAGCATCCTGGCTCAAAATGGATACCCAGTGCGTTTCGTGGAGAAAAACGTGAAACTAGAGCCAGAAAGGGAAGAATGCACTTCACTGCCAAAGAAAGCACTACAACTGAATCTGGAATTCAGGGGAGACCTAGCAGCAGATATCCTCAAAAGGAGAATCTCCAGTTCCCTGAAGAAGACCTTTCCTGCAGCAACTTAAGGAGTGATATTCTCCAACCCCCCACTGCTTCAAGGCAATATGAAGGGCAGACTTTCACGTATGGCCACCTCAATGTGCATATATCAATTCACCTGCTCGTGCGGAGCTAAGTACATAGGTCGTTTTATGAGGGTCCAATCAAAATGTGTTAGAAAACACTACCCAGCATGGATGCAAAGAGGAAGCACTGGTTGAATCAGGAGCGCCACAATTGAACATCTCGTCAATACTTGTCACAGCATCTCAACTGACTCATCATTCAGGATCATTTACAAAGTAAACAAAAATCTACCTAAGGCAGTGTGTTTCCAACTTCTTTGCAGTGCAGAAGCTCTCGCCAAATGTATTGAGGAACCGGAGTTAAGTGCTCAAAAGAAACTGGTCCAACCTCTACATTTAGCATGGATCGAGTTCGGTTAGTCTCCTTAGATACTGTTTTTTTCATCCCCTTAATTTTCGGCTTTTAAAATATTATTCTTTTAACTTGTTCTCATACTCATCCTATTCAAAAAAACTATTTCCTAATCCTGTATAATTTTGTTTCCAAGCCCCTTGTAATCTATATTCACACTCTTGAACTTTCATACAGAGTTAAAATTATTTCTCCAATTAACAAAATATTAATTTTATGTAAATAGTAACTGTTTTATAATCCCAAGTAATCTTGCCTCTTAGCCCCTAGTAATCTATATTCATACCTTCAAACTTTTAAGTCAAGTTGAAAATTATTGTGACCCATAATCTCCTTCGTTATTATGTGGAATTAAATAACAACTGTATCCATGTAAACCTTATATATATATATATATATATGCAATTGTACAGCTTTTGAAAGTGAATATAAAGTTGATGTTATCAAAGCAGTTAAAGGTATTTTTTACATTCCGACCAATGTGTTCAAAAGAGATTCATGCAGCCATTCTCCTCACCTTGTGTCCATCGTTACATGAAGGTAGAAACTTGAGAATTTCACCCTCCGCCTAAGCCATTTACAAGTTGCATTGTTCGAATTATTTTATTTTTCTGTCTACTTCATCTCCAACTGCTTATTGTGTAACCAACTTGAACACTCACTTATTCCCTGATCACTCTATATTTTTTTCCGAAATTATGCAATCCACTTGTTGTGATCATCTCTACCCTTTGAGTGTTTGTTTTGATTTTCTTGGTTAATTATCATTCCCTGACATGTTGATATTGACTAATTATTGTTAATGGATTTATCTCCACTACACTGATAAGATGTTTTGTATTGTATTAGAAATGTTGTATCTATCTATGAGAGTAGAGTCATATATGAGGATCTAATTGAAAAGTGAAGATTTATTCGCTTAGTCGATTTGTCTTATCAATATTCAACAGACAACGTTGTGGTTGTGAAGAAATAAAGAGTAGTGAACAGCTTACCCTTCGTGGAATACAGCTACACCGGGATGATACAAGCACAACTCACAGTCTGCTTCTGTTCCTGTGTAAAGCTAAAAAGATTTAAAAAATAAAACTCCCTTTAGTAACATAAAGGGGACTGCATTAACTCATACTGAGAATGAATATTACTCATAACAACAATGACCAGAAATAATTTGCATGATTATTAAAACACAAATTTGATGCATAATAGGCACCGGGAGATGAGTCCCACAAAATCCGATAGTTTATGCGAGAGCTGGGATACTAGCCGGACTCACAGACAGAAGTAGTTGGGTGTCTTAACAGGTCAACTAGCGAGTTTTGACACGAAGCCCGATCCACAAGGCAGTCGAGCGATGTTAAGACATACATTCCTGTTGTTCCGGTGATCAAAACAGATTCACATACTACTCGATCGTCTTGGATTTTGGTGTCCATGTACACCGTAGGTTTGGAATCAGGGTTTCCCAGCTTCTCTAGGTAGACTAGTATGTGCACTAGTTCGATTGTGAGTGCCCTTTAACTTTTGTGAGAAACACCCTCAACACATGGAAGCAGTGAACAGGGCTTATCTGGTAGAGGCTATGAACACGTGGCCACATGACAGAGAGGAAGACCAAAGTCTGCATACCCTCAGATGTACCAGGTTTATCGAAAATTATTCAATATTATAAAAAGGTGAGTCATTGATATTTTATAGTATTTTGAACGACTGACTGTATGACAAATTAAGGTCGTGGAACTAAGCACAAATGGGTACCAGTGCAGTGCGACTCTCCGAAGTTACACTATATAAGATGATAAAGTTGTCACATAGTATTTAACATAATGATTCAATGCAGTCGGCAATCAGTCACACCCCACTATGTGAGGAGGGCTAGTAAAACTACCTAGCTGCCTAAACCTTGGTAGGTGGAGTGGGATTTAAACCTCCGACTCACTCACCAATTGGAAGGAGAGCGCTCTATAGTAATTCCGACATATTTGATTGACCTAGTGTAATAGTCAGAGGATATCATTGATAACCACCCCCTCTCACACATTTGTTACATCTTCTTAGCAATGCGAAATTTTTAATCTCGAGGGAATTCTTTGTATTTCTTGAGAAATCTAAAACTTTCATTACGCACTATTTGAGTAAGACATGTGCTTTTACAATTTCGAATGATCATAATAATAACAATAATAATCATAATAATGAGTCGTATAAACAGTATAACTCACCTGTTTACAACCACTATTTTTACAATTCGTACCAACTGGATGAATACCTAATGAGAAAATAGAGCAAATTTAAGATACATTTAAGTCAAATAATTAACAATTGAACAACATTTTTAACACCGAGCACCAATCATCATTATGAGTAGCAATCCATAAAAAGCTGTGCCTTTTACCTACCTGAGCAGCTTAGTTTAAACTATTAGCACAACGAATGAGGATGTCAAAGGTAGGGTCAAGAGAGAACTTCAATCCTTAGAAATCAGTGCGAAGATTTACAGCTTTCAGTACAAGGGACAACATACGAGTTTTTAACACTAACGTCAAGTTACTCCCTCTATGTGATTCAGAGACTTGATGAGGGCATCGCGAAAAGCATTTCCAACAGACTACATTTTTTGTATTAGCACCTGTTTTCTTTTGATGCTGAAGATCAAATGGCCGGCAAGAATCATTGGGCAACACGCAAATCCAGGAACGAAAAAAAATTTGTCGCCGAAAAATATCCAGAAAGAAATGGAAGTGGGTGAATCTGACATACGCTGAGATTATTGAGTAATATAGCAGACCAGGACTTCAAGTAGGATCCAAATGCGAAGCAACAAGTTGGACGTCCAAGGATGACATGGGAAAGATAATGTGAAGAGGAAATGAGAACTTCTAAGCCCTATGATCTAGTCAGAATCCAAGGGATAAGTAATGATAATAATAAACTTCCAGTGAATTTCTGGTGTTTCACAACCTTGAAGTGTTTTTTCAGTAGAAAAGTTTACCTGAACTACATTTAATAATGTATTTCTAGATTTGATAAAATTGGGGCTAACGGACATGATATATATATATATATACTGGTCTATACTGCCTTTCCTAGAACCCCATGTCTGCCTACTTATCCAACATCCTGTCCAATACAAAATCACAAAATTTCATGCCGGATCGGCCGTGGCCCGGATTAACAACGACCGCGCTTCCTGCTGCCGTGTCACAGGGCGGGAGTGATAAATCTGCTACTGAGACACACCAAACAAAAAAAAGAACAAACAAAAACAGGCGGCGTGTGACCGGCCTCAAGCAGTGGTCCCCTGGGCTCTGCGGTCACGCAACCAACTTCCACGGTGTGGGCAGCCGGGAAGTAACAATCGCCCTCACAATCCGAAATGCACACGAAACCTCTCTATTACTCACTCATCTTTGTCTTCATCTTCATCTCTATCATCTTGCCTTCCTTCCACTGATGCAACTCCTCGACTTGATAGCTCTCCACTTCCTCTCCACTCTGCGTCCACTAAAAACGATGGAAGCCAAAAAACCACCACCGACAGCCTCTTAAAGCCGCGCCACCAATTTCATATAGGAGCTCTTAATGTTAGGACACTTTGCCAAATAGGACAACAAGCATCACTAGCCAAGACCCTGGCATCACGAGCCATTGATGTATGCTGTGTTTCAGAAACACGCATACAAGACCCAAGTGTGGTTATTCACCTAACCCCACCTGGCCAACAGGTTGAATCTGCAAAATTCACCTTGAGGGTGTCAGGAGATGCCACAGCTAGTTCACGAGGATTAGCTGGCGTAGGGATAGCTTTGAGTACTAGGGCAGAAAAGACATTGCTTGACTGGATCCCGGTAGATAGCCGAATGTGTGCTGTCCGCCTGAACGGATCAGTAAGAAGGAGGAAGGACTGCACTACTCGCCGATGCCTTTTCGTAATCTCCGCCTACGCCCCCACTGACTGCAGTTCAGATGAAACGAAGGATGAGTTCTACCAAAAGCTGTCTAGTTTGGTGCGAAAGGCTAAACGCTCAGACATAGTCGTTCTAGCTGGTGACTTTAACGCTCAAGTAGGGAAATTGTGTCAATCTGAGAAGGATGTCGGTGGCACCTATGGAGCTCCGTGCCAGCGAACCGACAACGGTGACCGTCTCCTACAGTTCTGCTCTGATAATCATTTGTTTCTTGTAAGCACTAACTTTAAACACAAGGAAAGACACTGTTTGACTTGGAGACCCCCTTCATCAAACCAACGCTGGACACAAATAGACCACATAGCAATAAGCTATCGTTGGCGTGGGTCGGTAGGAGATTGTCGCTCCTTCTGGAACACGTGCGTAGATACCGACCATGCACTGGTCCGCGCTCGGGTGTGCTTACGACTGAACGGACGTAGGAAACAGCTGGCGGTAAAACCATCACGTCCCCAGCTCGATCAGGAAACTAAATCCCTATTTGAGGAAGAACTAGCTAAACACATATCTGTGTTCGACAGCTGTGCTCACCCTGAAGAAGCTTGGAAAAATATCCAGGCAGCCATAGATACAGCTGTAAAAGCTGTGAATAAGGTAAACCCAAAGGTGAGTAAAAACCACTGGATCTCCACCGCCTCATCCGAACTGATAGATGCTAGAAGACTTATTCCGGCGAGCTCCGAATTCAATGAGGAGCGAAAGCTGCACAAGAGGAAACTTACGAAAAGTCTCCGCAAGGACCGTGAACAGTGGTGGGCGACAAAAGCCAAAGAGATGGAGAAAGCTTCGAGGATAGGCAACACCAGGCAACTCTTTAGACTCATCAGGGAAACGGGTGGGAGAAGACAAATCATTAGTGAGACAATCTCGGAAAAAAATGGCACTATAATTAGCTCACAGGATAGACGACTGGATCGTTGGAAAGAGCATTATGAGGAGCAGTTTAATTGGCCCACAGCCACGCTCAACCTTCCGAGCATCCAACACCTCCCTGAATGGGATATAGACACAGGTCCTCCATCCCTAACTGAGGTTACTAAAGCTGTCACCAATCTGAAACTAGGCAAAGCAGCGGGACCTGATGGAATGACGACAGAGGTATTTAAGTACGGTGGAGACAGCTTACTGTCTGCATTAACTGAGGTACTAGGCAGCGTCTGGGAATCAGAAGTCCCATCGGGTTGGTGTAAGTCACTGATTATCCCCATATACAAGAAGGGAGACAAGTCTTCCTGTGATAATCACAGAGGGATTAGCTTGACTAATATAGTATCTAAAGTCTTAGGCTCAATAATCATGCGTAGACTGAGTGGTGCTCGGGAAGCACAAACACGAGAGAGCCAGGTAGGCTTTAGACCAGGAAGAGGGTGTATTGATCATATCTTCACCCTCCGACAGATTCTAGAACATAGTCATTCCTACCGGCGTCCAACAGTCATTATATTTCTTGACCTAAAGGCAGCATTCGACTCTGTCGATCGGGAAGTTCTCTGGAGATGCTTGGCTGTAAAGGGAATTCCAAGAAAATATATTGCACTGATTAAGGCACTCTATTCGTACTCATACAGCCAGGTGAGGGCTTACGGCGAGCTGTCATCTGAACTGATGACGACCAGTGGTGTCCGTCAAGGATGCCCATTATCTCCTTTTCTATTCAACTTCATCATAGATGTGTTAATGGACTTAACCCTAGGTGACTTCAGCGACTCAGGGATTGACTTGCTACCGGGGAATAATCTCGTTGACTTGGAATATGCAGACGATATAGTCCTTCTAGGCGAAGACGCTGACAAAATGCAGAGTCTTCTAAACACCTTGAACAGCAATCTACGAATGTTTGGCATGCGATTCGCTCCCGCCAAATGCAAGATGATGTTACAGGACTGGACTACATCGACGCCTAGTTTAAAAATAGGAAGTGAAGTGGTAGAGCACGTTGACCGCTTCACTTATTTGGGAAGTACCATCAGCCCCAACGGGCTGATCTCTGACGAAATCTCAGCACGAATACAAGGGGTTCGTTTCGCATTTACCAGTTTACACCGACTCTGGCGTAGACGAGATGTTCGACTATCGACCAAAGGGCGGGTGTACTGCTCATCAGTCCGCTCCGTCCTCCTTTATGGTTGTGAGACCTGGCCACTGAGAGTGGAAGACATGAAAGGACTAGCTGCCTTTGATCATAGGTGCCTGCGTTCTATTTCCCGTGTAAAGTGGCATAATAAGGTGAGCAACATTGAGGTTAGGCGTCGAGTTCTAGGTAAACAGGGGAAATCAATCGACGAAGTCGTGAAGCTACAAAGACTGAGATGGTTAGGACATGTGTTACGTATGCCAAGTCATTGCCTCCCTCGACGAGCTATGTTAGCGGATATAGGGTCAGGCTGGAAAAAAGCTAGCGGCGGTCAAACAAAAACTTGGCATCAGTCAATGAAATCCACAACAGTTGGTCTTAGCCACGTAGAAAGGTGTAGACTTCCAGGCTGGGGTCCTCGGGACGGTAAAAATCTATGGTTGGAAACAATTGGTGACATGGCTCAAAATTGTTCTCAGTGGCGCAGATGCATCCACTCCTTGTGACTTATGATCTTCAATGAAACTGTTTTGTATTTCTTTATTACTCCTTTGTCTCACACCTCTGCTCACTGTTTCTATTATGCTTTTCTTGTACTTTCTTCTCTTGCTTCGCGTGCTACACGGAATGTGGCGACTTGAACTTCCGCACATTTGTGCAAAGTTCTATGTCGAAAACAGACAGACTTATCTGCTGGAGTCTTGATTACCAGTCCCTTGGGTTCCAAGTGGAACATAGGGCCTCAGTAGCATATCAACACTTCACTCAGCAGTCTTTTTTAGTTGGTTCCATAACTGCCTATTAGCTATCATGTTCTCTTCACATGATCCGTCTTGTCACCCTCGGGCTCAAGCCCAGGTCGTTGTTTTCCATTTCAGTTCTACTCAAGGCTTTCGTCTGTGATCTGGGTTGGAGATCTTCTTAGAGTATCTCCATTTCATTTATCTCCATTTCCTTCCGCAAATTTGTTATTAGCTTTTCAAGCATTGATTTATTTTGTCTCTGGAGCTCTAATTGTAAAATCATGTTTTCAATACTTGTGGGTACACATTAACCTTTGTTTATTCTTGACATGGTTATAATCAGACGCTCCATAAACACATATTTTTACTATGACTATGGTATCAAACCCAATAATCGGAGCATGTTTCATATATATTATGTGCAAACAGCTATGATTATATGAGTATAGTAGTGAGCATTTGATTTGACGTTTAATCAACATTTAGGCGATGTAATCAAGTATATTTCAGATTTGGTGTTTTGGAGGAACATAGTGCCACACAATAGTACAACTTGTGGCTCATAAATGTATGAAACAGATATGTTTCTGAGCAATAGATTCCGCTCAGACACGTTTAGTTAAGCAAAAATTTACTAAGTCACTATGAGATTTGTTAAATAAATAAAAATATACAACGAAATGAAAATTTTTTTTGATTTTTGAAAATAAAAGTAATTTGATATCGTACATTAAGTAGATGCAGCTCAACAATTACATACATGCTTACGTATTTAGTAATACTCCATATGTATTATGTAGGAAGAGGCTTTAGCCTTAGCAATCGGCTTTCAGCCAACGAGTAACGGGTTCGTGTGCCTTCCCATCTACTTCAGCTTGAGTGACTGCGGAGTATCATAAAACCACAAACAGTGAGTGTGGATCTAAGCCTGGTAAATTCGGTTGTTCATATAGTTTGGTTTAAACTAATGACTGACCGATTGAAGGTCCAGAGACATTATTAAAAATCAATTACCCCGAACACATTATCATGTATCATGCTATGGCCAGCTTTTATGGTGTGAAGGTTAGTGATACTATTCATCTGAGTAGCTTGAAATATCTACAACAAGCTTTATATCCAGGATTAGTCAGTTGATAGTCAACTGCTTAAATCAACGAGCCTTTAGATATTCATGATAAGCACAAGAGGAAAACTACCAAAAATAAATAGAGTCAAATAATAGTGGGAAGTATATTGACAAATTACCTGTATTAGTTTCCTCGGACGACTTTCCTAACGGTTTAAAGGATGGGTCCAATGATAGTTTTTCTAATGCAGTTTTCAAATTTGATGTAACTTCAATAGACAAATCGTATGTGGGTTCTGTACAAGATGGTCTAGGCAAATCAACTGGTTTTGGGACTGCAGCTGCAGGTGGAGGAACAGGCTGAAAGGTGTTTATCGAAGAAACAGTGTTTAAATTACATATTCGATACAAATCATGATATAAGTAAAACTTGAAAATATGTATGACGTATTCTTAATGCTTTCAGCTGCAAGCTAAACTGCCAAACTTATCACTATTCAAAATACAGTGAGAATGATTAACCCGCATTATTGACTGTTAAATAATGGAGGTGGGTTTGGAATTCTTATTTCCAGTAAATTTATTTATGCGACCACGCTACAGTTCTGAATACTTAGACTGATCTTGGTGGTATTTTAGAGGCCCAAATTAGAATACCACTCTGAGCATTTGACTTCATTCCTCTGCTTCCACACCTCCTACGACAAGAAGCTATATTAGTCAGCAACCATACACATGTTAAAATCACTGGGTAATTAAACATATTGTGAAATTGCAGATCCAATATCCTGATTACGAGCTAGTATAAACCAGTGATTTCTTTGAGCTCGCTTCTTGATTGTGAGGTAGAGGTTCCAGATCTTCGGTGAGCTTCTGCGTAGTAAGTCCCGACACTCGACTGCTTTAGCTCTGGTAGACTCCAGGAGGAGTGGTGCGGGGATTGGTCGAGATGTGGTTTGTAGTATGCAGTATGTTAGGACTGTATTGCTGCCGTGAATGGAGTTTGACCTAACTCCCGTTGGTCATTCGGTGTAGTCATAAAAGCAGAATAGTAATAATAATAATAATAGGTTGTAGTGTAGATAATATAGGTTGAGATAAGTGGAATAATAAAGGTGACCTAAGGAAAAGATAGAGTGAGAGAAGGCAGAATAGGTCGTGGGGATTTAGTTTGTACGCTTATTCATTGACAGTGTGGTTTCAAATTTTATGAGGATAAGCCATTGAGACACAAACCTTGCATTTCTGCATGATTGTCTAGCTTCCGCTTAAAAATCTCCAGAGATGGCGCTGTAGTCACGGCCGCCGGTAAAGCGTTCCAGAGACGGCAAACACGAAGCGAAAAGAAATGTGATCGCACTCGAGTCTTTGGTCTCTGGTGTGCTATCCTTAGCGGGTTACCTCGTGGAAGCCTATAATCGCTTAATGGCAGGATGCTTTTATTTGGGTGGGCCTGGTCATTTAGGATCTTGTAGACGGTGATGAGGTCTCCCCTGTGCCTACGGTAACTAAGTGTGAAAAGACCTAATTTCTTTAGTCTTTCCTCATATGATTTGTTGCGGAGGCCGATCACCCATTTTGTCGCTCGTCTCTGGACACTTTCTAGAATGTTAGCATCCCTTTTGAGTAGCGGAGGTGCAATGATATTATGCACCTCAAGGTGTGGCCTCACATATGCCTTGTATAGCCTTAAGAACAGTTCGGGAGTGAGAGCTCCCAGCTGCCTGTGCATAAAGTGTAATGTTGCGTAGGCTTTGGCGACGTCCCTCGAGTAATTTCCACTGGTGTCTAGCTTTTCTGTTAGAATAAGACCTAGATCACGCTCTGATGGAACACAACTCAAGTTCTGGCCACCAAGGGTGTAATTTACACTCTGTGACCTGCCGGAATGAAGCTGCACTACTTTGCACTTCTTTAGATTGAAAGGCATTCCGTTAGCCAAAGCCCAATTTCCCAGAGTTTGCAGGTCAGCCTGCAATCTATCTGAGTCTTCCGATGAGTTTATTGCTCTCCAAATCTTTACGTCGTCAGCGTAAAGAAGCGCAGAGCAGTTTAGTTGGGGGGCAGGTCATTGATAAAAATCAAAAACATCAACGGCCCTAGGATAGAACCCTGAGGAACCCCTGATGCCGAGGTGTGCCAGGATGATCGGATGCGGTTGACTTTGGTGCAGAATTCTCTCTCGCCTAAGTAATCTGTCAGCCATGCGAGAAGTGCTCCAGAAACTCCCGCCTTGCCTATTTTGTGAAGGAGCAGACCATGGTGAACTGTGTCGAATGCTTTCGCAAAGTCGAGAAAGATCACGTGGGCTGGTACCTTTTTGTCCCAGGATAGTGTCCAATCGTTCCAGGCTAGTAGAAGATTCGTCACGCAGGATCTTCCCCTCCTGAAACCGTGCTGTGCTTCGTGAAGAAGGTTAGTCCCATCGAAGTATTTTCTCATGTGGTCGTCAATGAGACTTTCCAATATCTTCGATACCACTGGAAGTAGAGCAACTGGTCTGTAACTGGTCACATTCTGCCGGTCACCACCCTTGAAGATAGGGGATAGGATTGCACGTTTCCATTCACATGGAAGTTTCCCTACATCAAGGGAGTGTTGGAACAGATCACTTAGGGGTTGACAGAGACTTTCTGAACACTGCTTCAGGACAGATGGTCTGATGCCATCACAACCTGGAGACTTTCCCGAAGCCAACCTTCCCAATTTTGCAAGTACCATAGCCGGGGTAATTTGAAATGTCCCCAGCAGGTTTTCGTGTGTTGGTTTTGCGATGTAATCTGGATGTTCTGTAGGGGTAATATCCTCGTTACTATTTAGTTGCCTGTGAAAGGCTAGGCTGAATGTCTCTGCCATTTCAAGACTAGTAAGAGATTTCCCATCAGAACCCACTAGATTGCATGCTCCCTGGTTGGTCGGTTTTCTTTCGGCCATAAACCTGTATAGGCTTTTGGGGTTCACGAGAAGCTTATTGGCGAGGTCTCCCTGAAATGTCCTTCTATCGCTCCGGACTCGTATGTTACATCGATTCCTGAGTTCAAGGTACACTTCATATTCGGGTTGACTCTTCGATCGTCGCCACGCGAACCAGGCTTTTCGCTTTGCCTGCAGAAGGCGTTGTGTCCCCCTTTTCAGCCATGATCGTTGCTTCCTAGCTTTTGGTGAGACTAAAGGAACAGTGTCTGAGACCGCCTGGTGAATGATTTCCTTTACCACTCTCCAGTGTTCTTCTACTGTTAGCTCTGTCCATTTTTTAGGCCAGTTTGCTTCAGACAGAAGTCTTCGCATTTTGGTGTAGTTGGCTTTGTTATAACACAGATAGGGCTGTGTATTGTCCCACTGTAAGCGCTCGCGGAGGACTATGTCGAATACTATGACCGCGTGGTCACTACTACCTATGGGAGTCGTGATCTGAACGTTTTCCACTAGTAGCTGGTCACTAGTGAGCACGTAATCCAGTCTAGAAGACTTCCCATCAGGGCCCCATCTAGTATCCATCTTGACATTTTCAGTGAATCCAGCCTTCCTGATGGTATGCAGCAGATTTCGATCAAATCTATCATGGGCTTTTCCCGACACCAAGTTAAGAGATGGGGCATTGAAGTCACCAGCTATGACAATTTGATCATAACCCATGTCTTGAGTTGCTGAGATTGTATTTAGCAGTACCTGGTTGTGGTCTGCTCCACATGAAGGTGATCGATAAATGCTGCCCACTAGATATTTGCAGTACCCAACGGTGAAGTGGCACCATATGGAGTCAGGGAGCTCTGTGAGGGGAGGGTCCATCGCGTGAACACATCTGAGCTGTTTGTCGACGTATATGGCGACTCCACCTCCTTCTTTCAGGTCCCTATCTCGCCTGACTAGGACCATATCATTTATACTGACTTCGCTGTCTGCCACCGTAGGGGTTAGCCAGGTTTCCGTCAGTATTATGATTTTGGAGTTTAGTTGTGATTGTAGGTGTCTAAGTTCAGCTATTTTGCCTCTTAGCCCTCTCACATTACTATACAGGCAACTGGTAGTCAGTCTCACCACTTCCCCGTATTGGGGGGTAGTTGACTTGATATTGGCTATCGGTTGAGGAGTTATCCTACGAACTAGTTGGCCGATTCCCCAGGAACCGGCCTGTTGGCGTTTTTTTCTTCTAGTTCAGTTGGAGCACTCGGATGACACTGGCTATCATCGTCCGTGCTGCACCGCTGTAGTGTGACTAGGGGTTGAGGATTTTTTTTACTACGCTTTGTTCTCTCCTTTGAGTGCGAGGCCGGCTCTCGCAGCAGCGAATGTGTTTGCTGACCTTGTCCTTGGTCTCGTACCATCTATGGAGAGCGGTATTCAACTGGTCTTGGGAGCTGAACTTGACAGCTAACAGACGTGGCGAGTTAATTGACATAAGATGAGTGGGTCGAGGCAGTCTATAAATAGAGACAGCCCCTGAACTTCCCAGGGCCATCTGGGATGCTAACCATCTCCATTGTTGTACATCATGACAATGCTTTTCGCAGGCGTTCCCAGTTACCAGTTCGGGAATGCCATGCACAACCATGGAGGCAGAAGGAATGAGCTCTGGCGACTCCCTCGCCATTTGTCTTTCCTTCCACGGCCTGTCTGGCTTAACACGTATGTTACAGGCCCTCCCTATAGAAAGGACTTGAGAAGCCAGTAACACTTTTTCAACATCCTCGGTAGAGCCCAATGTTACCCTCAGTGGGGATGGTTTGCCTTCAGGTGCAGCAGTGCCCCTATACAATCTGCATAGATTTACTGGTTGGATGTCCAAACCCAGTGTGCTACTCAAGATGGACCACTGTTCCTGATCAAATAGGGCCCTATCTTTCAGCAGACTACTGCTACAGTCTGGTACATTAAAGAGGATTACACAATTTGATCTGCTAACCGTGGGCTTGGGCTCGGTCCTCGCACGTTTGTGATCACCTTTAAGACCGTTTTGGTTTGACTGGTGCGACTGGGTATTTTTATGTGTCTCAGTGCTATAGCCAGCATTACTGATAGACGGTTGGGGTCTTTTTCCAACGACGGAAACCCGTGGTTCTCCAGCCTCTGTGTCTGGAGCGGTTATGGCAAGAGTTACAAGTTTAACCGGTGAGGATTTTGGTATCCCCGGTTTACGCGCGTTTGTACTAACTTCCGGATTGGTGGGGGTCGAGCTTTTCACCTTTTTCCCCGCTACTTCTGTGCCATCTTTAGTTTTCAAAGGACTACGCGAGGCTACATCAGGACGGCAACTCGGGCATATGTACCAGAACCATTGGCATGGGTTTTTACGCATAAAGTCATAATATGCTTTTGGTACCCCACTGTCGCATCTGCAATGCACCCATCGGTTGCAAAAGTTACATTCGAAAGCAGAGTCTGCTTGTTCGACAACAGAAGCACAGACCTTGCAGTCGTCTGTCTTCTTGGGGAGCGTTCTTGTCGTCTTGCGACGTCGTGAACGTTTCTTTTTGGCCTTCCTATTTGTTTCATGGTCTACCATGGGGATGGGTGTTATGAAGTTCTCACTTAGTGCAATTTTCCCACTCGGATCTGTTAACCTAGTCGTGTTAACAGGGGTGGAGCCACATCCACTTGGCTGACTTTGCACAGCTTCACTGTAGGACTGTGGCGACATGGGTAATCTGTACGAGCTGGGAATATTAGCCCTGGTCTTCAGGACCGGTATGCGTGAGTCCATCACCTTCTCCTGTTTGCCTAGTTTGGCTGAAGCCCTGGTAACTACAGAGTATGATGTCCCATTACTTATTTTAGGTTGAGAATCTATTGTCATTTTACTCCTAAATTAATACTGGTGATTAAATAATAAGAGACTGTTATTTTGTCCAATAGACTTACAGCAAAAGACAATAGAGAGCACAGAAAAGAAGGATAAAGTATTTAAGTAAAAGCTTTAGACTTTACCTGTAACTTTCGGGTTATTCGGTTTCACAGCAATCACGTAACAGACCCACAAGTCCTGTATATTTGAAAGAGTGAGGAGGGTGTTGCTACAGAAGTAGCACCTGAAGCTTTGGCAGTAGTTCGAGACAGCGGGAAGTACCACACACAGGCTCGGTGAGGAAGAAATGGTTGAATAAAAATTCGCCGGATAGGAAGATCAGGTTTCCCAAACGAATAATTCACAAAATTCCAGATAGTGCTAACTTGAAGATTACATCCTCAACGAACAGGTAGAAATCATTACCTAAAGGGACCAAAAGGCGTGTGACTCAGATACTACCAGAAAGAAGTCGAGTGTAACTTGTCATGATCACAAAGTATTTGAATCTAAAAACCTGGTATGTAAGTGGAAACGGAATACAAGCACATTAAGAATATGGTGACGACAAATGTATGATGCAACACTATATCAAGTATGAAACGTTCCAAGGTTAAAGGTCGTTCAAACTTTTTTCCTAACGGTTCCTACAAGAGTGAGTCCATTCACCCAAAACTGAATGAAATCATTCGTTTACTCACTTTAACAGGGAGGTCAACCTTCTTTTGTTCTTTGACAGGCTCCTCAGGGCGGGTATTGCTATGTTTTCCTACAGTGCATCCCTTTATACTCAGAAATTCAGAAAAGTCTGTACTGTATTTATTGCAACATGACCATTTTTTCTTAGCGTCATGAAATATTGGCTCCCCAGGATGATATCTGCATGAATCTGTAGGTACTTATGACAACCACTGGGAGTATTACCTTCTTTATTTTCTTCAGGGTTGAATTTTTGAGCACATCCTTTATTGTAACACAGAACTAACTCCGACATTGCTAACTGCCGAAGGTCAAACAACGTACTTATAGAAGGCGGCTTCCAATATCCAATATCCAATATCCTGATGACGAGCTAGTATAAACCAGTGATTTCTTTGAGCTCGCTTCTTGATTGTGAGGTAGAGGTTCCAGATCTTCGGTGAGCTTCTGCGTAGTAAGTCCCGACACTCGACTGCTTTAGCTCTGGTAGACTCCAGGAGGAGTGGTGCGGGGATTGGTTGAGATGTGGTTTGTAGTATGCAGTATGTTAGGACTGTATTGCTGCCGTGAATGGAGTTTGACCTAACTCCCGTTGGTCATTCGGTGTAGTCATAAAAGCAGAATAGTAATAATAATAATAATAGGTTGTAGTGTAGATAATATAGGTTGAGATAAGTGGAATAATAAAGGTGACCTAAGGAAAAGATAGAGTGAGAGAAGGCAGAATAGGTCGTGGGGATTTAGTTTGTACGCTTATTCATTGACAGTGTGGTTTCAAATTTTATGAGGATAAGCCATTGAGACACAAACCTTGCATTTCTGCATGATTGTCTAGCTTCCGCTTAAAAATCTCCACAGATGGCGCTGTAGTCACGGCCGCCGGTAAAGCGTTCCAGAGACGGCAAACACGAAGCGAAAAGAAATGTGATCGCCCTCGAGTCTTTGGTCTCTGGTGTGCTATCCTTAGCGGGTTACCTCGTGGAAGCCCATAATCGCTTAATGGCAGGATGCTTTTATTTGGGTGGGCCTGGTCATTTAGGATCTTGTAGACGGTGATGAGGTCTCCCTGTGCCTACGGTAACTGAGTGTGAAAAGACCTAATTTCTTTAGTCTTTCCTCATATGATTTGCTGCGGAGGCCGATCACCCATTTTGTCGCTCGTCTCTGGACACTTTCTAGAATGTTAGCATCCCTTTTGAGTAGCGGAGGTGCAATGATATTATGCACCTCAAGGTGTGGCCTCACATATGCCTTGTATAGCCTTAAGAACAGTTCGGGAGTGAGAGCTCCCAGCTGCCTGTGCATAAAGTGTAATGTTGCGTAGGCTTTGGCGACGTCCCTCGAGTAATTTCCACTGGTGTCTAGCTTTTCTGTTAGAATAAGACCTAGATCACGCTCTGATGGAACACAACTCAAGTTCTGGCCACCAAGGGTGTAATTTACACTCTGTGACCTGCCGGAATGAAGCTGCACTACTTTGCACTTCTTTAGACTGAAAGGCATTCCGTTAGCCAAAGCCCAATTTCCCAGAGTTTTTAGGTCAGCCTGCAATCTATCTGAGTCTTCCGATGAGTTTATTGCTCTCCAAATCTTTACGTCGTTTAAGTTATTATATTGACAACCTCCAATATCTAATATATGGCTGAAATTATATGTGTAGCAACCTCTTATAAACCTAAACTATTGATGTCTGAGGGTTTAATTCTAGGTGTTATAAGGCACTTCTATGTCTCCAAAGATAAGTTATTTTTCAACTGTTGTAACTCTGTTGAAAGCAGAAAGTAGTGCTGTATTGGTTATCTTGAGGTTGAATGAGTGACTGTTTACATGACACACATGACTGTGTCGCCAGAGAGTTCTTTCTATCAGCAGAGAACAAGTTTTACGGGAAAGTATTAGGGGAAGTGAAGTACACATGGGGGTGTCGATGGCTACGTAGAATTCGTTATATATTGTAGCGGTAGATAATTTCCCGAAATTACTGGCCACAACGCTAATCACTGAACATTGGATGCTAACACTCAGTGTTTAAGTCGAAGTGTTTAGCTGAAAGCTTCCGGTCAAGCATCCATTTGGCACGAGATTTATCGTTAGCGCACGGTCCCTAGCTAGTTGAGCAATCATCTCGCATTCAGATTCGGTCCCGAAATAATTCATAATTTGACCAATCACTCCTGGTATTTTACTTTGCCCTTGGTCTACGCAGAACAAATACTACAGAAGTTGTGGGTATTAGATCTTGCGTTAGCATACTTCGTACTATCCGTGAACGTCTACACCCTCAACGTCTAAAATAAAAAGACAAGATTCTATCCAGTAATACCAAAATGCCTATATTCCTGAGATCAGAGACAGATCAGTATAACTGAATCTGTGGGGTGTTACCTATCTCCGTAAACAACTCCCATTACTCACTTAGTTCTAGATTCATTATAGTTAACGATGTCATACCTTATTTTTAAAACTGTATCTGAATCTTAGTCGTGTGCCATAACAGTATTTCAAATACCTCGTTAATCATGTTACAGAAGTGGCACTTATTTAAGACCAAGCTTGTTATTTTAATGGTTGGCATTTACTGCATACTAGAAGCCTTGGTTGTTCCTGAATCCGAGTACCAAAATGATTATATTCACCATTCTATCCATCCATGCACACAAAAGTCGAGTTGTTGTGCTAGCTGCTAAATGCTTTGATCAAGAAGTGCCTTGTTGATCAGTTCAGCGCCAATGAATACGCCGGTATATACACCACCGTAGGCACTGTCACGCCGAAACAATCACGAGTTATGATGGTTACTTAGAACAAAATAGCCGACAACATATCCTGGTTGCATAGTTGACAGTCTCATCACTGCTTCTGGTTACCTAATGCAGTCAACATATATGATCAATTCAACCATTTCATGAGTGATTAGGTTTATGTACACGTTGGACTCAGACTAATTTACACTATCTTTTCATTCTAATGATGATAAAGCAATCTGGCCAATCTACCACATTAGTCTGTTACCTAGCTGTCGGGGAAGTCTCCTGCACAATGACTAGTCTGTCGTACGTACCCTGCACGGTGACAGTTATGAAAAGAATTGATTAAAGACGTGAATTAAAAGTTGTCCTCCATGAGGCTTTAACTTATGCAACTGATCCGCTGATTTCACAACCTGAAAAACACCCTAAGCATTTCCTGTCCATTACACCAAATTACAGCGATCTCATCTAAAGTCAGCACGACTGCCCTGTAAACCTAGCTAAATGGATTCACGGGCTAAATACTCTTGACCATCTCTTGTATCATATCTGTATTTCATATTGAACGCCAACCTAAGGGGCTAACGCAGAAGTCAACCAGGCCAATTCGTTGTTAAATAATTAGCACTGTGGATTACGGGTATAAAGTTGTAACTCTCCTTACAACTATCAACCAGTGGTGTGTATCTTGCTCCCAATCTACCAACATTTGGTCCTCAGCATCACCGAGTAGTCCCTTTATTTGAATGCACCAAGTGATGTCAAGGAACACTGAGTTTAGAGTTCATCTCTCTTAGCTACACCAATGCTCCTTTCAATGGAGTTGAACATTGAACGTTTGTTTTTGGAACTTGTAGCCATTGTTGGGCAGCTCGAAGGCGCGAATGATTCGATCATGTACAAGTTCGAGGAGGACGACCAAAAACGAGTAAAAGCACTCCATAATTCTGCCTAAAATATTTGTTTATAGATTTTTACTGTTCTCCGCTTTAAGTGCCAAATAATATGACTTCCTTTTTACAATACTGGTGTTTTAGAGTTAATGTCGAAGAAAGTACATAGTTTTTATCGGTTCGGAGCGTCTTCGCAACAATAGGAACTTAGGGATAAGTTCCTTGACAGTTCCTCTTATCACGCGACCAAAGGTCCTGCGCAATAATACCTGCTTCAGATGCTAAAATTTCTTTTTTCCCTTCGAATATGAGTTAGGCATCAAATTCCTGCCGGAAACACTCATGTTCGTATGTTATCTAAATAGCAACACACTTTCGATGATTATAGACACATCCAAGTGATGTTAATTACGTTTCATCCCAGGGATCGTTTTGACACTTAAATGTCATGAAATTATACCAGTGCAACAACTCACAGTGCGTCGGTGGCACAGCGGTTAGGACACTCGCCGACCATGCACATGGTCCGGGGTTCGATCCCCGGCCAGCGCACTCCTTTACTTCGCTGAGCCGTAGTGCGACTGGTAAAGAGGAAAGGTTGGACGTGAGGCTAGCGACCCCATCCTGTAAAAATTAACACTGCTACAGAAACTTCAAGCTTCTAGCTTGAAGCCCTATGTTCCACTGGGAACGCGAAGGAAAAAACTACTCGCTAATCCTATCAAACTTTGAGCTGACTTTGTTCTGTCACACTGTTAGTACTGCATTCTCTTACTAAGAATGGACTATTTTACTTTGCAAGTTCCTGCCGTTCTTCTGCTTTCTGTTTCAGACTCTGAACAAATAACAGATGTTACAATTTCAATAAGACCCTTCTGTGCTCAGTGACTTCTAACATTGAATCGAATCAGCTGCAGTTGATTCCAGTGGGGGAGTCAGGTGGGAGATCAAGGAAATTCGCCGACTCAATTGAACCGAAGTCGATTCACTGTCGATGGTCAGTCCGTTACTAAGGATAGAAATACATGGTGGTGAATATGATTTTCAAGAGACAAGAGCTCGGCAGCTTCTTTGTGGTTTGATTGTCTACTTGTACACTGTTCACTGTCGACAACAAATGTGCCTTTCACCGCCGCAGGCATTGTGTTTTCCCTTCTCTAGTTGGGGAGGTGTTAATAGCAATCTGGCCACCACATTAGGTAATCCAGGGAAAAGAGTTAGCAGGTGGCCGGCGTTCGGGCCTAGCAGGATTGATACCCACACACCAATCGTGAACGTTGTATGCAGTCGGAACCAGCTGAGAATGAGTCCTAAACAATCCACATAAACTAACCAGTTGGTTTCCTGGAACATTACATGTTTGAAAAGAAATGGGATTCACCCGACTCATTTTCACGAAACCCTGGAAATGATAGAGTGTGTATATTAACTCTAACTGCAGGCTTGTCAAACGAATTCATATGCCAATGTTATACGTTTACAGAAATTAGTTTTACAAATGCTTATGGAATATGCGTCATCGCATTATTCAACAATAGTTTTTGTTTGTTACATAGATGCTTTGCGTGGTTACATACCGTCGTTCACCTTACGTTCTTTGAAAATTGATATCGTTAACAACAAAACTCAAGCATTCACCTGTGCCTCTTAAT